TAATATGTATTTCATATACTTATATATGTATCCGTATCTATCCGTTACCCTAGAATCCCATAACACAAGCCTTATAGTGCTTATTTTGGGGCTAGGCTAATTCCAACACTCACAGTGTTGGAAATATTTATTATTATTATAATTACTTCAGTTAACTGAGAAAAGGCAAAATAAGAATGTCAAAATATATCACAGTACTTATCTATTGAGGAGCTCGATGGCGCAAGTGGTTAGCGCGTTCGGCTGCGATCGTTGAAGTTAAGCAACTTTCGCAGTGGTCGGTCATTGGATGGGTGACCAAAAATCTTCTATCTCGAGTTCCTCCGTTAAGGAAGGCACGTTAAGCCGTTGGTCCCGGCTGCATCTGCAGTCGTTAGCACCCGCCAATCCGCACTGGGCCCGCGTGGCGGGTCATGGCCCTCCCTATTCCATCCATAGGGAAGGCCTGTGCCCTAGCAATTGGGACATTAATAGGCTGACGATGATGATGATGACTTATCTATTATCTTATATCTATATTCGGGTGCAAGAAAGACATTACTCGAATTCGGGCACCCGAAGCAATATTTACACTGGAATACAGACTGGAAAACGGTGTCGGGTCTTAGATTAAAATAAAAAATGGGTGCGTGTACTTATGCAGGCGCGTGAGAAGTTATCCTTCTTTGGCATCGTTTAAAATTAGTTTTTAATTGCATGCAAATAATTAATTACAATAAATTAATAAAAAGTCTGGAAAAGGACGAAGTCAATAAAGTTCAGTTTTAATTTGAAAAAATAAATAAATAATCAAAATATTCAATTAAAATCGCTACTGAATATAATTTATTAGAACATATGTGATTTGCACTTGTATGAAACTCAAACACGTATTCCGAATATACAAACTAAAAACATGTGGATAAATATTATAAATATGAATACCTATAACTGATATTACAAAAAATAAAGATGTGGTTTTTGGTTCTACTACACCAATGGTCAAGAGATGGCGCTGTAGTCTCCGGAATCGCGCTTTGGTTCCGTTGTTCCGTTGTTCATCATTTTTTCATAACGCGCCTAAAGAAGTATAACTTCAAAAAGGGTAGATACGGCACTAGCCTCACAAAAGTGATCCGCACAAATTGTGGTCCACGACCCTAATCGCTTTAGTCACAACTTGACATGCAAACGACGTACATGTGAACGCCAAAAAGAAATATTGCTAATATTTTGGTTTATATGATAAAACAATGCCTAAGTGTGTTTTTAAAAAGTGCTAAAATTGCTCAAGAACTGAAAATAACACCCACAGCATCACTTTTCATTCGTAAGTACTATAAAATATATTTTTTCATAAAAATTGCTGTTTGTTTTGAATCTTATTCGGTAGTGACGTAGAGTACTGGTCGCGTGATTGGTCGGTAATGCAGTGACGCGGATCTCGCCGTCCCGTTCGCGCTGCCGTGGGATCAGTTTTTGTTTGATGCAAGTATGAGCGTACCGTATCTACCCTTTTTGTTTTAATCTAAGAGTCGGGTAAACAAAAGGAAATCTAGACGAATACGTGCGCACTCGACTCCGTTCATTTACACTTAATCGTTTACCCGAATTTCATTGGCACTCGTATTCGGGCTAACGGCCAAATGTAATCGCGCAATAAGCATACACAGTGAATTATGATCGTAAAGCAAAAATCCTCCGCCACAAAGAATATAGCGGATACATAACACTATGAGGGCTACCGTTTTCTGCCTCACCAGATTTTTAATAACTGACATTCATTGCCACATAACTCATATTTGCCATAATTAAGCCGAATTGTTACCAATTATTCACAACATTATTTTAATTAGAAATAAACCCGCGTAGTCAACCCACAAGCAATAACATTTGACATTTCGGAGACCTCACGCTACACGAGCGCCTCTAGCGGCGGATTCATACGCGATAGCCCTCATTGTCGTGTGATGGTGTTATACTCCTTCAGTGAGCATGGCTCCCAGAGACGAAGTTTCCACATCAGAGCAACAAAGATTGTAAATGCAGCCGGGACCGACGGTTTAAACTGCTCGCTTAAGCACTAAGAAGCGATACAAAATTTTGGTCACCCATCCTACGACCGACTATTGCTTAACTATCACGATCGCAAACCGGTTGAGTACTACGCTAATGAGCTCCACTCGACCGAGGTCATATGAGGTTGGATTAGTATAGCGTAAGGAACTGGTGCGAATCCAGTGTGTCATAAGAGCCCTTTCACATTTTTTGCAAAAAATCGTAATTTTTGAGCGCCTCGTTTACCCCCTTAGAAAAGATTTTGACTATTTCCAATAGAAGTAAACAATATATTTATTCTTCCTATTGTAAGTTAATGTAGAATATTTGCAAATACTATTTTCCTTTTTTGTACTGATCATTCTACCGCAGCTAGTTTACGGAAAAAACGATAATATGGACGGACAACTTCAAACGCCTGAATCTCTAAATAATGTTCAATAAGTTAGATCAAATTAATTACTACGACATCAGACATATGTTTTTGTTGTAACATAATGTATTAGAATTTTGATTTTCCATCACATTAATTTTCAAAAAAAATCTAACCTTCGTGAGTTTTCCCAAAAAACAATGCAGGTTTACCTCGTATTGTGATATTGAATTAAATAGAGTTATCATCAAAAACTTTCATAAAACTTATCTACCATCATTGAACTACTGAAATATGTATATATTTCTATGATTAATTCATGAATAATTATTTTATAAGACTCGAAACATCACCCGTAAAATGCAATATCATCATCATCATCAGCCTATTAATGTCCCCACTGCTGGGGCACAGGCCTTCCTTATGGATGGGTTAGGGAGAATGGGCCATGACCCACCACGCGGGCCCAGTGCGGATTGGCGGGTGCTAACGACTGCAGATGCAGCCGGGACCAACGGCTTAACGTGCCTTCCGAAGCACGGAGGAGCTCGAGATAGTAAATTTTTGGTCACCCATCCAATGACCGACCACTGCGAATGTTGCTCAACCGCAGCCAAGCGCGCTAACCACTCGCGCCATCGAGCTTCTCAAATGCAATATATACTAGTGCAAATCTACCTACGCGCCGATCAGTACGGCAGCAGCGCATTTTTGTAAAAGGGGTTATCAAATACATATGGATTACCAAATTATTTTATGCCAAGTCTCGGATAAGATGTTATAAAAAAAGTCTCGTTAAACCAAAATTATATACAGGGTGTTACAAAAATACAAATAAAGCTAATGACGAATAAAAATATCGATCATTTTAAGACACGTAGCTAGTTCGAGGAACTTTAAAAACAACTGTTTCTATAAAAAGTTAAAACTCCATGCAAATATTTTAAGAAAATTAGAGAAGACTCATTATATGATGTACTTCAACGCCCTTCAAGCTTTATTTGTATTTTTGTAACACCCTGTATATAAAGTATGTGCTAATATAATCAGAACCGTTCAACCGAAGGACACATTTTACTGTCTCAAGTTAAATGGATAATACACAGAAACACACAACAGAGCGAAATGCAACATTTAAAAAAATATCAAAGTTTCAATAAGAAACGCCGTAAAAAAGACTAAATAACTACCAATGCAGCTCCATTTGCAACTTTGACGACCTCCGTGGCCGAGTGATTTGTACGCAGGGTTTCATGGCTGTCGCCGACTCGAGAGGTCCCGGGTTCGAATCCCGGTGGGGGCAGATGTTTGTGTGATGAATACGAGCATTTGTACTCCAGTCATGGATGTTTAATATGTATTTCTATATAAATATACTTATATATGTACAGTATATGTATTCTATCCGTTACCCTAGCATCCCATAAACAAGCCTTATAGTGCTTACTTTGGGGCTAGGCTGATTGGTGTGAGTGTCGGAAATATTTATTATTTTATTTATTTACTAGCTGACCCAGCGTACTTCGTATTGCTTACAATAATTTGGAAGAAATGATAAACGACGAACGTCAAATGTTTGACAGGAATATACACATAGCCATCTGTCGGATCCAATGTAAAACATTCCAAAATCAACAACTACTAATAAATTAAAAATTAATTAAAAAAACATTGCCCAGCGGACAAAATTGTGAATCTAAACCATTCTCAGATCCCCTTGAACACACACAAAAAATTTCATCAAAATCGGTCCAGTCGTTTAAGAGAAGTTCAGTGACATACACACTCACAGAAGAATTATATATATAAAGATAACGCACTTCGCTTAGTTGCAAATTTCAATGTGGTACCCATCCTTACTTACAATTAGGGGTGGGCGTTTTTAGAATAACGATGCGCGATAACGATACCTGGTTTGGATGCATGCAGCCAATGCTACAAGATGACTTTATTGGATGCCGATGCCATCTAGTTTTTGTCAACGTTACTATAGCAACAGTGCCACAAACTTATCTGTTCCGGTGAAGATGTGAACAAATCTATATATATATATATATATAAAAATGAAACCCGTTTTCCGTTGTCACGACATAACATGAAAACGGCTTGACCGATTTGGCTGATTTTTTTTTTGTAGTTTTCTAATACTCTGTACAAGGTTCTTACGGAAAAAAATATAAAGAAAATCTCTCAGAAAGATTGAAAAATATAACGTAACGAATGTCAACGTCATTCAATTTAAATACATAAGATAGGTCAGCTATACAAAATAAAGAAGTGCATCAAAGCTACGCTAAGGCGGTACGAAGTTCGCCGAGTCAGCTAGTATGTTATAAAAATGTTACAATGCTATGGATAAATTGTAGTTCCTATTTTTGCCACCGGCACTGAAAAGTTTGTGATACTACGATACTGCCATTCACTTGGCATCGATGCGATGCCGGCATCGGTGCGCGGATCCGATTCGATTTATCTGATACCGATGCGCATCGATTTCACAAATATCTAAAAACGCCCATCTCTACTTACAATATAAAAAAAAAACTAAAAGCAAAGGGAAGCGACAGAACGTGCAAAAAGTCTAACATACACCAGAGTATTGCTTGCGGGGCACATCTATGTTAACATTGGGCGGGACCTGTAGGTCTCCGATCTTAGTCTTAGCCTGGTGGACGGTGGTCTGCAGGTCCTTGAGGAGAGCATCAGTGGGCTTCGGGCTGAGCTCCTTACGAACTGGGCTCGGTTCCTTGGGGCTTGTGTCTGCCAAATCCAACTCTATAGCGTCCTCTTCGCCTGTCACGCAATATGGACAACGCTTAGGGAGTATTCACACAATACATATCGAAAGTGCAAAGGCAAATCGCTTATAAGCCACTTTGGTCAAAAATTTGTTATCTCTTATCTATTAGACAAGTCCGTCCGTCCGTCTGTCTGTGGTGCTGTTTCAGCGGCCAAACCGTAAGAGATAGATAAAGAGAATATTTAAGTTATAAGTTAAGAATAGTCTGATAATAAGATACAAACCGGATTTGAGTAACGTAGCACTTCCGGTTTTCGATAAATCACGAATTTCAATCAAAATCTCCGAAGTTCTCAATTAATTAAATACAATTTTTTTATTTTTTATTTTTAAATCAGGTTTTGGTGAACATTTGGTTCACTGGTTTGCTAGTATGTATATAATACTAGTTGTGCCCTGCAGTGTTACCCGCGGTTTATTATGGACATTTTCTCGCAGTAAAACGTAGCCTATGTATTAATCCAGGGTGTCAGCTAACTCCATACCAAATTTTATTAAAATCGCTCCAGCCGTTTAGACTTGAAGAAGTAACAAACATACACACATACACGCTCACAAACTTTCGCCTTTATAATATTAGTGTGATATCATTTGAGTCAGATTTAGATTTTTATTCTCCGTCGATCTGTTTATGTTTCATGAAGATTTGAGTACTTTTTTAGCGCTTAAGCAATTGAAATTTTTGGATATTTATATTGTTCACAATGCTGAAGCGACATAAATTTTGGTGTTTTTTGAACCAATGGCGTTTACGCCCTTCTATTTGGTATATAATTTGATGTTTGCTTGACAAAAAATGTTTGGCGGGCCGATTAATTTTCGCTTAAGCGACATCTAATTCGTAACGTAAAGGCAATAATATGTAACTTTTTAATAATAAATAAAAAATAGGATGATATTTAGAAAAAAAAAATTTAATATGTTTTTGTATTTATGGCGCTTAGATAACCTTACTCTGGAGGGTAAGGTTATCTAATGAGGGTTCTCGGGAATGACGACTCTTTAGTGAATATGAATCTTTAGTGAATACTAAGATATTACAATAATAAATATACTTCTCATTTACAATGAGTAATGATGTTTTTAGTGAGAAAAAAAACTTTGATTCTCGTTTCTGTAAAATTACTAAAGTGGCGTATAAGCAATTTTGCTTTTCTACTGTCGATTTGAATTGTCCCTCCATCAATGTCTTTTTAAACAAGAAATCAATTATTGAATACTGCGAAGAATCTTTTAATTCCGCGGTGAGTTGTACGACGTCGTAGAGTTCTAACGGTGAAACGCCGTAACGCAGTAGAACGCAGTGTTGTGGCCTCGCCCTTGCAATTTAGGTACTTATTTCTGTCAATGAAAGGGCATCAAAGGGCCTAATTTTTCAACTTTTTCTACTTCAGTAATTATTTTATTTTCATAGTTGATGAAGAGATTAAAAAAGTATGTCATATTGACACTTATCTCTTAGTAGTGCCTGGTAAGGTAAGGTTTTGTACTAAAAATATTTAGCTAGTTTGAAGGCATGAATTAATTTAACATGAACTCTTGGCGCCACTGTGCTATGAGGTCTTTAATATGAAGTTTTTGGCGCGAACTCCTCGAACGAGCATTTAAAATGATCCATAGACTATGACGACATAGGTGATTTAACGGATGAGTAGTTCTTTCATCTCAGTGCTGCCACCTGGCGCCAGATATTCCAGAAAACTCTCATTAAAAAAATCCGTCTGCTGCCTGGTCTGCGTGTTTTTTTTTCTAGTTTAATCTTTTTTAAACATGAGCAGTTACATGCTTAAAAAACAAAAATTAAAACTTTCATTAGTTAGATAACCTTACCCTCCAGTGTAACCTCCAGGGTAAGGTCTATCTATCTAATGAGGGTTCTCGGGAATGACGACTCTTTAGTGAATACTAGTTAGTGAATATGACTCTTTAGTGAACACTAACCTATTACAATAATAAATATACTACAGTGGATCCCCGGTAGTCTGACAAACATTTTGCAGGGCAGTGTCGAACTAGCGAATTTGTCGGATTATAGAGTACTTACTGCCTAAGACCCTCTATAGTCCGAATTGTTTTACAAAAGTGTACCTTGTAATCCGACAAATTACAGATCCAATGATAAGATTACAATTCATACTTCGTTATGTATGTCAAATTTAGTAAATTAAACAACACAATAGAAAGATTACGTTTTATTATAAAAGTAATAATAATAAATAGTGATGGTGCGTACAAGTTGTAACTTGTTCAATCGTGAATTAGCGAATACTTGTATGTAATAGACGATGTCGGATTATAGGGGGTGCCGCATTAGCCAGGGACCGGATTACCGGGGCTCCACTGTATTTCATTATCATCAGCCTATTATTGTCCCCGCTGCAAGGGCACAGACCTTCCCTATGATTGGAATAAGAATATTGGACCTTGACCCACAACACTGGTATGTGCCAACGACTGCAGATTCAACCGGATCCGTCGTCTTAACGTACCTTTTGAACCACAGAGAAGCTCAAAATAATAAGTTTTTGGTATCCAATGTCCGGCTTAATAGTCGCAATCGTATGTTTAACTTCCACAATAGGTAATTTGAAAACCAATCTGTCAGCTTGTCGGTTAGTCGGCAATTTCTATAGTCAGCCCATCTCTAATACACATTTTTCATTTTGGTTAAACAAATTGAAAAAATATTTATGTGATAATGTAGATAAGTTACATATTGAAAGAAGAGATCATTTAATACACTAGGTTGTAGGAGTAACACAAGCTGATAAATTCAAGCTTACCAAACCAGAGTGCTTGAGGGGATTTGCTCCGGGGAGGGTTGGGGCTGCCCTCGGGCTCCGCATCCTGTCCCCATAGTCGACTCAGAGTGATCTCACCGTCGAGGCTGGCCAACAGGTCCTGACCGAGGCTAATGCATTGCAGGTCAATGTCCGTCTCCCAAGTCTTCACACTACCTGAAATATGAAATTTCTATAAAAACAATGAAAAATCCTCCCCGTAATCAGAGCCGCTCAGAAAACTACTCTAAGCAATGGGCTGATAAATATTGGCGTTTATATACCTATAAATATTAGCTACAATTTTTGTGAATTTGTGATGGAATACAACATTTCATGAATTCCTATTTTCAATTTCAAAAAAAACTGTTGCCTACTGAAAGAAAATACTATAGTAGTCTACCATTATTATATTGTTTGTGGAATAAATGGATTCAATTTTAAAAACACAATATTATTATTCATCAAATATTTTTGTACAAATTGTCACTGTATTAAAATGAAATAAAATACAATCAGATTTTGGAGATCCGCTATGTGCTATGCTGTCCCACGAGGGTCGGCTGCCTCTGGTAGCACAGGCAGTACAATTTCGATTGCGGTAAACAGTTGATAATTTTATTTATAATACTACCTAGCCAAAAGAGAACGCACAAGAGAGAGCAGAGAACTGCCAATTGAGCGTGCACTATTGCCTGCACTGCCTGAAATGCCGAGCAGACTCCCACTTCGTGCTCCATCCGCTAAATGCAGCAGATACTCTTACACATTGATGAAATCTTACCTTCAATAATTCTATCATAGATCTTAACTTCATTCCTTCCTTGCCTACCCCGCCTTTGTCTCATCACTGGAGAGGATTTAATATCGACTGGCTCAGTAGAGTTCACTGGTACTTCTTCGACAACATTCATTGTCTCCATGGGTACTCTCAAATCATCAACAATTTCTTCATTGATGGCTTGTTGCAATATTGGTGCAGTCGTCTGAGTTATAAGTGTCGACAAAGCTGACTCTACGGTCGGTTTATCTAATTTTGTTTCTATAGCTATTTCCTCTTTAGTTTCCTTTATGTTAGCAGTATTTGACTCAACTTTATTATCCTTTTCTGCTTCCTCAACGTCTTTAACTTTTAAGTAAGCTAATAGCTTCTCATTTAACCAAGCAGGATTAGCCAACGTATTGTCGATAAAACCGTCAAGTTTCTTTGCTAAAATTCTTACCAGCAGCTCAGATTGAGGAGTGTCCCACAGCTCCCAAGGCACCAATTCTTTGAGCACTACTCTCAGAATGTTAGTGCAGTGCTCGGCCGAAGAAGTTTTCTTGTCGGGATTTGAGATAATATGTGATTTTTTGTACAAAGATTCAACAGTGTTATTTGGTAATTTCTCATACCGCTTTATGGCTTTTCTATACTCCTTCAAATGGCTTATGAGAACTGCACAACTATCTACATAAACATCTTTTGGCTCTATTTTATTACATATCTGTTAAGAAACAAAACTTAAGTCAGAAAATTGTCTTTTTGAATACAATGAGGGTGATGACGGTAACGAAACTCTATTTAGTCTGTCAATTAGATGATCATAAAATAATGGACACGTATTTTTTCTTTGGGCGTTCAACCAAAAAATGACAACGATATAGCGCGTCAAATTTTGGGAGTAGGGGCTTGTGACTTCGTGTACTCAAATGTGACATCATGCGACTTTTCAAATCAGTATATCTCTACAATGTTTATATTATGTGAAAAAAGAAAAAATATCTGTCCAATACTTTTTGATAATCTACCTGATAAATGAAGAAAAAAAAATAGTCATCATCCCTATTAAATAAAATAATCCTCAAGTAACCAAACTTACTTGAAAACATTTTCCAATCATCTGATCCAACATTTGCTTGCAAGCAAACGGAAACCCTATCTCCTGAGATATGTGTTGAACGTACCATGATGACACCAGTTTCCTTTCCAGGACGGTCGTTATGACACTCAACTCATTTGTATCATACTCTTTGTATTCCTGCACAAGTCTCTTGCGGGGTTGCGGCAAAATATGTATCAATGAAGATAGGTAAGGGTAATCTTTCACAAGCCCGTCGAGTTCGTACTTTATGGGCTTATTCAGATGTAACAACCACTGCAGAAATTTAAAACTCAGTGATAAAGAAACTGCAAATAGTACAATGATATACGCAAGGAACCACGCTCCAGTTAATGGTGAAATATTAGTCACACAGTTTAATAAAATGCACACGATTGCGCCAGTACAAGAAAATATCGACAAGCACTCGAGTAAATTCCATTTGAATAACATTTTATTATTATTTTTATATTAAAAATACCGCAATTCTTTCGGAGAAAGTTATAAATTTATTGATTTTTGCCTTGTTTTGTTTTTTTTTTTTTTTTATATCTTTTTTCCCATCTTGGGAAAGGCAAAGGCAGAGCCATGCAGCCATAGTCTTCATTTAGGGCCTTGTTTTGTTTGCGATCTTTTTGACAGATGCGAGACGCAGACTTTAAAAGTCTTTGGCGAGACGAGACCAGTGTTGCCAACTTTATTTTTCAGAAAATCGTACCTAAAACGCCTTAGACTAAAAAAGATTGTATTTTGCCAACATTTCAAGGAATAAAATAGTACATAATGCAATTTCAATAAAACAATGTAAATCTTTTTAAAACGGTCATTATAATTTTAAATCAATATTTATCATTTAAGGAACATGAATCAACAACAACGTCAACAATAGGCTAGTTTACTCACGTCGAATTGAATTAAATAAATGTTTATTTCTTAAAGTGCTTAGTCTAAGGAACCTTAATATATCGATTTCACTTCATAAAAGCAGAAGATTGCTGTAGAAATTTAATTTTAAAAATATTTTCTAGTCTATATTTTTTAAACACTAAAAACGCTGTTCGCCACATTCGCCATGATTTTGACGTCTCTTGTGGTAAACAACTAAATGTCATTCGCGTGTTACTGTAGGTGGATTCTTTCGTCTGACTAAATTTATCTTAAAACACTTTTAACTTTAGGAAAGAAAAAAACAGTAAACTTAGTTTTTTTGACTAAACAAATTATGGATGACGGCTTTGTGAAAGCAGAAAGCACAAATCTGCCAAGAATTGACGCATTGATGGTTGGTGAATTGATTGCACTAAACCCCGATAAGCGGAGCAGAGAAACGACAAGGCATCTATGTAAGTACAGTGCATTTAGTATTACAATGTAGTAATAAACATAAAACTGATACAACATATGAATAACTGTAATAAAGTTGCGTAGGTGAATTTCTTTCGGCACTTTAATCCACAACTTTCCTGGAGTCTTCAAGGATGTGTTTTTATATTCTCGTACAATACAGTAATGATAATTACTTTATTTTTCGTGGTATTTATTAGAAATCATGTTTTTTTTTTTTATTATAAACTTAGTTAAAAGTAATTTTCTACGTGTTTACGAGTTTTTGTTTACCACAGTTCACGTCATAGCATAGATAATCTATAGACTAAAATGGCCGACAGCGTTTTTGTATGTCCATGAAAAGTCTATTTTAAAATTAAAGATTTGTAGCTTTCTAGGTTTAAAAAAAATACAATACATTGTTTTCGGTCTAATAGAACATTTATTAACCATTTAAAACCTTTTTCCAAAAAGAGTCAACCAGCCTATTTAGCATTAAGAATTTTTATATTTTTAGATATTATAAAAGTTACATAGGTATATTCTAAAACGAGATGAAATCGTGACTAAACCACAATATCGGTATCGCTCGCACTGTACTTATAAATATAGATATATATTAACATACATACTACCTAAAAAGCCTATTACACTACCCAATTTTAAGGGACCCTTACCAGGGTAAGTTAGTCAGGACTAAGGGTGGTGTAATATGAGTTAGGGAGTGAGGGATCCGATCTAGGGCAATCGGCGCGACCCGATCTCCCTTACTTCCTGACGATCAAGGAGTGAAATAGCTGTTAGGCAGTAATAAATAAATAATAAATATCTCCAACACACGCACCGATTAGTCTAGCCCAAAAGTAAGGTAAAAGCACTATAAGGCTTGTGTTATGGGATACTAGGGTAACGGATAGAATACATATAATGTACATATATAAGTATATTTATATATAAATACATATTAAACATCCATGACTGGAGTACAAATGCACATATTTATCACAGAAACATCTGCCTCCACCGGGATTCAAACCCGGGACCTCTCGAGTCGGCGACACCATGACACCCGGCGTACAAACCACTCAGCCACAGAGGTCGTCAAAGGGAGCTCAGTAGACGCGACGCTTGGAGAGCGTATAGTTGGGGAGACCGGAGTTGAAAGTTCCGATTTTCAAATAACATGGTATTATATGATGAAAAGGATAAATTTAATTTTTAATAATCAAATTTATTAAAGTATCTTAATCGGTCATTTTAATAGTATAGTAATTTCTGCCAATATCACAATAGTTTTTTTTTACAATCGTATTTATGCAAAATTTCAGAAGGGAACATTCAACCTCGCGTTGGGTCGTGTTGTTCTATGTGTGGGGCAAATTGTGCCGCTTGGATCATATAAATAAAATATGAGAATAATATAGCTGCATGCATTAACCCGTAAAAACTAGTTTTATTTAATGAGTGATGTGCGTGAAAACCTAAGAAACAAATAATATAGCTTTTAAATAAAACAGTAATTTTTAAAATTATATTTATTGTGTGTTATAATAAAACATATACATTACTGTTTATCTTCAGATAAATGTTTCTTTAAAACTATAATAGAGATTTAACAAGTTGAAACTCTTATCAAATACACTGCATTTATTTTAACTAAATAACATAACTGATAACCACCAGACTAACGTTTCAATAGTATAAGTGTAATGACAAATGAGATCACAACTTCAATTCTAATTAAATAACAAAACGAAACTTCATACGTTCATATTTTTTTCATTTACTGTATTCTTGAGGTTAAAAAAATATTTTAATGGAATTACAATGAAAACTAATCATCAGTCTTGTTTTAAGCAGTCTTAATTAACTTTGGCAACTTTTATTCTTATTCTTCATCTGACTCACAATTTGGGACATACATAAGTAATACCAGCTTCATTTATACATTTAACCGTAATTATTTTTCTTCCATCTTGTATGACAGCTTGTCTTTCAGTTTAAATTTTTTACGTTTGTAGGTACATACCATCCTAAAAAAAGAACAAAGGCGTAAGTTGTTCCGGGGAACAACCAGCCCCTTTAGGAGGGAACTTGTAGCCCCATATTAAGTTTTTGTATGAAAACTGTCAACTCTCCTTAATTCATCCATAGGGAAGGCCTGTGCCCCAACAGTGGGGACATTAATAGGCTGATGATGATAAAAACTGTCATACTAGCAATAATTGAAAAAACATTCATATAATAAGATACCTAACTGATGCCACTCTAAAATTGGAAAGATACACATAAAACGGTCAATAATAAATAAAAATAGACCAAAAACACTAAAAACGAAAAAATTTACTCACGTGGTGTTTAAAAGCACGGTGTACACAGCCGCTGTACTAGTCTCACTAGTCCGCCGCTGTCGGAGCAACTAGAGCTGTAAAAGTAACGAGATATTCGTATTCGTTACTATAACATTCAATACTCGTTACTATCGTATCGTTACTCGTTACTTTACTAGTGTGAAGCACTGCATTGATCGAGTCAAGTCGAGTTAATTTGACGTTGTACGTTTAAAGTAAACTTGTTTCAATTTCAGTTTCAAACTTTATCTAATCAATTTCCTTACTTACTATCCTTATTATAGTATACTAGATTGAAGTTCAACTGTCATCACATTCATAATACTTAGGCCCGTATTACAGAATAACAACTAAGAGTAGATCTTTTCCTGAGTACAGTTAGAAAGGGATGCCGCTCTATGCTATATATAACGCCATCCCTTTCTAACTATGATCAAGATTGATTCATTACTAAGAATCTTTCTGTAATACGGACCTTATTATTGAAATGTTGAGCTTTTGCAATATACAAACTTGTTGTTGTATAAACAATCATTTTTCGTAACGAGTGTTTAAATACATTCGATTCAACGAACAATATTAAGTATTTGTTCATCACGAAACATAAGGTGATACAACGCAAGATGAGCAAACCGTTTCAATTCAAGCATCAACATTACATGCGCAGTTGAATTCGTACGTCCATACACAGAATCAAATTGACATCATCAGTACGACATATACAAGTATTAAATGTATTCCTGAGTAACGATTCGTTACTTGAAGTCAGGTGGTGTACCCGTTACTTGGTAACGAATACATACGGTTTGTTACAGCTGATGCTTAAACGACGCACTTCACGTATATGGATATCGTTTTCCTTTACAAAGTTATTAACTGTCGGAACAATTTACCCCGGGAACTTCCAGCCCCGGCCTCCCCTACAGACGTTTTTGTCGTTGAATTAGTTTATTTGCGGACATATTTTGATTTCCTGTAGTCTGTGGATGTTTGACGTATGTTGGATACGTCACGTCGTCCTCACGTCAACGTCACTTTATTTATGCATCTCGGAGGTTGTAAATGAAAATCGAGAGAAGAAATCTAATAGAATAAATTATTTAAATTGTATTAAACTGTCATTTCAAAAATGTAAGTGCAAAACTGCTTGTAAGTATAAAAACTAATTGTAGGCTGTTTCTTATTAATTTGTTGTTTCAGGTCTAAAGTTACTTTCAAGATCACATTGACTTCAGACCCAAAGCTTCCTTTTAAAGTGTGAGTACTTGAAATTTTATTAAACCCACAAACAATTTGTGGACTAACTTCAACGTAGAAACACAGTAGAATACCAATAGCAGCAAATTCACTTGTTAAAAGTTTTTGTTATTGAGCCTTTTCGTTTTAACAGATGCTGACAACTTCCTGGGTTCTACGTTGAAGTAACTACGCTTAATATGGATACAGCTGTTGTTCGACAATTCCTAGACTTTTTCCAAGACTTCATTAATTTGTGTCATTCAGCAAACTGGCCTGACAACACTACAAGTGAAACAGAAATTCAAAATGCTTTTCTCGTAGCGGAACATGTTGAGAAATGTCTTAACAAACTACAAAAGAGAACTATTCTTAATGATTTTTTATCTAATATAAGTAATACACAAGATCTGCACCATACTACACTCAAAAGATGTCTTTCTGATCCATCAAAGTATGTGTTAAAGAAAGTTGTAAATTCAAACACAAATATCCAGCAATTAGATATAACATTTAAAGTTTTTGTTGAAATATTCTCTGAAGAGAAATTAGAACAATGTTTAGCAGATATTATGTTAGAAACTGCATCAAAACAAACACTGTTGAATAACATGTCTCGAGAGATTCCTAAACAGAAAATATTAGGGTTCAAAAGTCAAATATTTCTTAGTGAATTGAATAATTGTAATGAACCAAAAGAAACAATTTTAACAATGTTTAGTGATTGTAATCAAGACACAGTTGATTTACTTGTGGTTAGTATGACTAATAACAATTTACAAAACCACAAATCAATATCTTGCATTGTAAAATTATTGATAGATATTACTAGATCAAAAAGACATGATCACAAAAAGTTTTGGAAATACCTGTTCAATGTTGAAGAAACATATTTTCTTGAAATGTGCACGAGGCACAGTGATTGGTTCAAAATCATTGTCCAAGCTCTGCTTGATTGTGGAAAATTGTTACAGGAGAATATGTCAGCTGAGTATTTCTACATAGATTTAACATACTCAGAGTTAGTTAGCAATGTTAGGAAAATATGCCATAATGAATGTTTAAGAATTGAATTCTTTGACATTGTAAAAGAATGTGATATTGATACAACTTTCTGGGATAATTTAATTAAATAGCATTTAGTTACGATATATCCAAATAGGATTTATACAATTATTTTTATCATTATATGTGTTTTTATTAATAAATCATGATGAATATGTTATGTATGACATATATTATTTACACAAATGTAACCTTCCTTGGTCCTTAAATTAAATTAAAGTTCACTTCAGTAAGCTGACACCAAAAACTAACGATTTATTCAGACAATTTTACAACACTGCTGGTTTTAGTAACATTATATTGTTATCTGCAGAATTTTTGTTTCATTGAAAAAAATAATAGTGAACAACTAAGTCACCATAAAATACACAAGTACCTAAGACTTATTTATTTATTCCATATAAACTGTTACATGTACTTCTAAAAGTTAGGTAGGTCATGCTATTGGTCTACTAATCAGTCTGTCCAGTATTAGTACCAGTCTTTCGCCTAACGGAAATGCTTTGTAAAACGCTAATGCTTACATATGCAGATTTCATTTTGTTATTTCTAGCCGCCTGGGGTTTTTAAAATGCCTCGCACTCTTTTTTTTTCTTTTGCATTGGTAATAATAATATTAAAAAAAATTGCATGAGGTATTTGAAAACCTTCGGCGGTCAGAAATAACAAAATAAAATCGAAAGCGTTAGCGTTTTCCAAAGCATTTCCGTTAGGCAAATGGCCCGCTGGAGAGATTCAATAACTGTTAATAACCTCAATCCAGGAGGCCTATTCGCTATCGGTTTCTGACAGATGGTTCACCAAGCTATATGCTGATACAATACAGTACTAAGATACTTGAACTTAAAAACAATGGTGGATATGTAATTTGTTTATTATTTACACACTGTTTAATATCAAAAAAAGAGGCCAAATGGCCACAGACCTGTAGGCCTACGCCTATTTACCAACTTTTACCAATCTAAATAGATAATTGACTATTCTGCCTTCATAATTCGTAGATGGGTTATCGACATGCAATAATTATTTCTTTACATCATAAGTACAAAATTTACCAAGATAACACACCATGCTTGAGGCAATACACTGTATCACTATTGCCTTTAAAGTGTTTTAAATTTGACGCAGATGTTTTGAGTGTCTGCTGATACACGACAATACTAATACAGTCATTTGTTTAAATAAAGTGCACCAAGATTATCTGCTTATTGTCGTATTTTCATGGTGTTTTCCATATCACATATGCACAGACCCGAGACAATAAATAATTTAACCTGACCCCATAGCATGAGCACCACAATTAACATTCTATCACGTTTTTTATCTCTGTCTAACTGTCAAACTCCCTAGTAATTTGACAATTGAGCGTGATAAAAAGGAGCTTTATATCATATCGCGATGCTCAATGCTCATGCTAGAGAGGCTGGTGTTGTACTATCGACAATAATTTTAGAAACCACTAGACCATGTTTTCTCTGTTTGGTACTAACAGCACATATAGTCGTGGTCAAGTGACAGTGGGTACAGATTGTGAAGTGGGTACAGATGGACCCAGCCCAGTGGGGGGGTATGACCCCCATGACCCTCCCTCTGGATCCGCTCTTGATGAGCCGTAGGCGCACGATTGGTTAAGGCGTCCCGTCAACTACCTCAAGTTCTTCCGTGCTTCGGAAGGCACTTCAAGCCGGCATCTGCAGTCGTCACCCACCAAGCCGCACTGTCCACGCATGATATGTCGTGGACCAATCTATCTCCCTTATGCTATCTTATGATTTCGTATATTGTAGCCATCGCCATGTGATTAGGATGTATGATCCGTTGGTAGAGGCATGATGGAGGAAGCTTCCCTTGGTCTTAGGATCGGTAGCGAGGAACGAGAGAGATGTTTTGTGGACACATGTTTATTGTACGGCGTCGTGTAAGGAAGTCCGCACGTTAATATTATAATAGAGCATAACCCCCTCATTAATTAACGAGGAATAAGTTAAGACTAGTTACGCCGTGTATTGTTCACATCAATCAAATGTCATTTGTAATTCAATGAACAGAGACAAAAAATGGATTAACTAGTCCAAGTTTCATCATCATCATCAACCCATGTTCGTCCACTGCTGGACATAGGTCTCCCCAAATGCACGCCACTGCTCCCGATTTTGTGCTACTCTCATCCAGCCAGCCTGCGAATATCATCATCCCATCTTGTCTCAGGGCGTCCTACACTACATTTACCGAGTCGTGGTCTCCACTCGAGAACTTTCCGGCTCCAGCGGCCATCAGTTCTCCGGCTAATGTGACCAGCCCACTGCCACTTCAGTTTGCTAATTCGGTGGGCTATGTCGGTGACTTTAGTTCTCTATCGGATTACATCATTTCTGATGCGGTCCTTCAGGGATACTCCGAGCATAGCCCTTTCCATAGCTCTCTGAGCGACTTTAAACTTGGGGACTCGTCCAGCCGTGAGTGTCCACGTCTCGGCGCCGTATGTCATAACTGGGAGAACGCACTGGTCGTAGACTTTCGACTTGAGACATTGAGGGATGGGTGACGAGAAGACTTGACGAAGCTTACGAAATGCTGCCCAGCCCAACTGAATTCTTCTATTGGCTTCGCTCTCGAAGTTGTTTCTGCCTAATCGGAGCGTTTGTCCTAGATAGACATATTCCTGAACAACCTCGAGATGTACTTCATTAACAGCAACCAGTCCCGGATCAACGAGCTTGTTGAACATGACCTTGGTTTTATCCAAGTTCATCCGGGGACTGATGCGTTTAGAAGATTCAGCCAGGCTGCTCACCATCTCCTGTAGGTCTTGCAGGGTTTCAGTAGGCAGTACAAGATTATTCTTTGTTTATTAATAAGCTAAGTGGTAAGTCAGCAGCATGTCGAGAGTATTTAGCAGTCAATTTTATAAGTCGCGCGAAGCACGATACTAGCGTTGTCCGTTATTGTGCAGAAGTCAATATTAAGATGTTTTGGGGGGAACGAAGGGGCGTTGCGCCGATTGTCTCTCCAGTCGTATCCATGCGCAGCTATACCCCCAGCGTTTTGTTCAGCTCTAGAATTACGTGCCGCGACCTGTATGTGTTACGGTACAGGTCTGAATTCATACACTACAATGTCCTAGACCAGTGGCAGTGGCGGCGCTAGACCACATGTGGACGTCGGCGACATCACGTTCGCGAGGCCTATTTTAATTCGCAGACAAAAACCGTTAAATTAAGTGAGCCAAATTATAAAATAACGTATGAGTAAACGAGTTTTATTGTTGATAATCAAATGATGACAAAAAATAATTACAAACATAGAAATTTAATTACAAAAATAGTGTTGCCAGACAGACGATTCTGAATACCCGTAAAGTACTACTCGCTTCCATCACGCACGTGTTCGAAAATAATAAAAGTCATTATCATCTACTTAGCTTTTTCCCCGAATTGTTCGGAGTCGGCTATCTAAGCCAGGCCAGGAGAAACGAAAATAAATAGGTAACTTGTAAAATTTTTTTGCGAGGCCCCCTCAGGCGCGAGGCCGTCGGCAGGTTCTTAACCTTTTAGTGACGAGGGATCATTTGTATATTTTTTCTCACTACGGACCCCCCCTTCCTTTGATTGTTAATCAATCAGCGTTGTTACTTAATATTATTTCGAATGGCTTTGGGGACCACTTCCAGGAGCATTCAGGTTAGTCAAGAACCAATGTACTAGACATTCGTACAGTAATATGAATTATGAGGAGTTCGATGGCGCGCATTAACAGCAACCGGTTCCGGATCAACGAGCTCGTTGAACATGACCTTGGTTTTATCCAAGTTCATCCGGGGACCGATGCGTTTGGAAGATTCAGCCAGGCTGCTCACCATCTCCTGTAGGTCTTGCAGGGTTTCAGGGTGGTTAGCGCGTTTGGCTGCGACCAAAAATCTTCTATCTCGAGTTCCTCCGTGCTTCGGAAGGCACGTTAAGCCGTTGGTCCCGGCTGCATCTGCAGTCGTTAGTACCCGCTAAGTCGCACTGGGCCCGCGTGGCGGGTTATGGCCCAATCTCCCTATTCCAATCATAGGGAAGGCCTGTGCCCCAGCAGTGGGGACATTAAGGCGCTTTGCAGACGACGGGGCGGGGCAGGCTTTTTGGCTGCGAAGCAATAAAAACCGCGTCTGCCCGTCGATGTCTGCGGCTGCTCTCGCCGCGTACACAAAGCACACGACGGGCAGAGGCAGACAGTTCAGGACGTTCGTTCTAGTGTATATTCCATCACTAAAAAGCGCGTGGCGCGGACTGAGCTGACCGCCCCGCGCCGCCGTCTGCGTTACTGCATATAAACTGGTTTGTATGATCCACGGCGGGCAGCCGCGGACATGCCGCGCCGCCACTGCCCGCCGGGTACCCAAGGCGCGGTCTTTTTGCCCTCTATGTGCGTTTGTAGTATAGGATTCACTTTGTGCTATCGTTCGTAAATTTTCGCAGGCTGAACGTGCCGGACGTGACTCCATTCACGGCTGTGCTGAAGTTCGCAGCGGAGGAGTTCCGCGTGGAGGCAGCCACCAGCGCCATCATCACGGACGACGGCATCGGCATCAACCCCAATCAGACCGCGGGTAAGTTCATTGAACACCATACAGACAGACAGTGGCGTATTTGGAAAAAAAAATATATGTAAGCTCCATCCTCGTACTTCAAGGAATATTCTAAAAAAAGAATAATCGAAATCGGTTCAGCTGTTCTCCAGATTTGCGCTTAGCAACACATTCAGCAATTCATTTTTATATTATAGACTAGTGGCCCGCCCTCGCTTCGCTTCGGTGTACAGCTGTAGTGTAAACTATAGTTTTTGTTCTCAGGCTTGTGTTATACACAATGACATTATTTATATAATTACACGTGTTATTGTGAGTCAACCATAAAAGATAGACATATGCTGTTGCGGGATATTTTTTAGACAATTTCATGTAGAATATTTCCGTCCTACATGATTTCTATGTAACTTTAACCATTAAAGCTGCACACGCGACGGAAGCTTAAAAAATGGAGTAACTTCTCCCGTTTTTCCAACATTTCCCTTCACTACTCTGCTCCTATTGATTTTAGCGTGATGAAAAGTATACTATAACCTGCTCAGGAGTATGAAGAATAATTGTACCAAGTTTCGTTAAAATCCGTCGAGTAGTTTTTGTTTCTATAAGGAACATACATACATACATACAGACAGACAGACAGACAGACAAAAATTTTACTGATTGCATTTTTGGCATCAGTATCGATCACTAATCATCCCCTGATAGTTATTTTGAAAATATATTTCATGTACAGAATTGACCTCTCTACAGATTTATTATAAGTATAGATATATCCGACTTCTTTATATATATAATTCTTCTGTGAGTGTGTATGTCACTGAACTTCTCTTAAACGACTGGGCCGATTTTGATGAATTTTTTTGTGTGTGTTCAAGGGGATCTGAGAATGGTTTAGATTCACAATTTTGTCCGCTGGACAACCCCTATTTTTTTAGGGCGGTACGAAGTTCGCTGGGTCAGCTAGTATATATATATATATATTGTCGCATGTGATACTCGTAGCGTTTCAACCCTCGCGGAGGTACCGAGTTAAATTAAATATTATTCAGCAGTTTGTTTTCATTCTATAGTTGATTTTAATTTTTATAGATTTAAGATATACCCACACTTATATTTTCGGTTGTTTTTGACGTGACAACGTCTTAAATTAGGTTGCGGCTGGGAGTCACTTATGAAAAAGTGTAACGCTCGGTAACGTTACGATGAGTTTAAGTTTACATGTACAATGTTTTAGTAAACAAAATATATTTCTATAGTTAAAATTTGTGCAATTCTTATTTTCATTCAATTCCTTGTTCCTATTGTGCAATTTAATTATATTCATATCAATAAATATTCTACCGAGAAAAAGACGTTGTCACGTAAAATCTTCGCCCGTAAAACCGACTTTACAGGCAACCATTTTTTTTTCCTTTTCTGAATAATGTTATGAAAAGGATGTGTTTTTATTTTGGTATTTTATGTTAAAAGCTTTTAATGTCATAATGTCTTTATGTTGCGTATATTTTCATTCATATTTTCGGGCCATCTTCAGCGCCCAGCTTCCCAAGATAGCCCAATACCAAGTTTCTAAAAATTGTTTACATTTGTGTTAAAATGCCGAAAGCTGAAGGTACTACTTTTTTAGATAACTTGTTTCTCAAATAAATAATATTACAACTTCCATTATGTTGTTTCTTTACTTATTTGCAAGATTTTACGAGGTTTTGAAATTAAGTGGGCCTTCATTGGTGCCTGTACTTCTTTCATATTTAAAGAAAATTAATGCAACTAAGAAATACTAGAAGAAATGCGGTACGGCCATTAAGGTCGTGGTAGCATAATTGTTAGTGCATCCGCGCGGATAGCTGAGGGTGCGGGTTCGAGTCCCGTCTGCAGCCTGGACCTTTTAGAATGTTGTTCTCGTAAAATTTTGCCTTATAAATGTAGCAGTTAAATTCTTAAAATAAATATAATACACTATAGCTATTAACGGGATTGTTACCATGTACCTTGTTTTTTATGAGTCCCCTATATTTCGGCATCCAGTGGTTCGTATGTGCAAAAACCGCAAAAATCAAAAAAGTGTCGTTCCGCGATCTGATACTGTGAGTATTGTGTGTCGGAAACAAGTGCGAGTGAATTGTGAGAATGTGACCAATGGTAGGGGTATCGAGCGCAGTAAAAGACGACGTCAGAGGGTAGACCGATATGTCTGCCAATAATATCTACCCGCAATAGGGATGATGACTAATTTTTTTTCTTCGTTTATCAGGTAGATTATCAAAAAGTATTGGACACGTATTTTTTCTTTTTTCACATAATATAAACATTGCAGAGATATATTGATTTGAAAAGTCGCATGACGTCACGTTTGAGTACACTTATAAGTGAAAATTCACTCAAAAGTGAGGTCACGAGCTCCTACTCCAAAACATTGACGCGCTATAACTTTGTCATTTTTTTGGTGGATTGCCCAAAGAAAAAATACGTGTCCATTATTTTTTGATCATCTTACTGACGGACCCTTTACTGTACCCAGTCATCATCCCTATTACTTCAGTTACTCCGTGATCATGGCGCTTGCAACAGTGCAGAAATATCGGAGACTCATAAAAAACAAGGTACATGGTAACAATCCCGTTAATAGCTATAATGTTGGTGACCATGAAAGTTTAAAACAATATATAATTTTTCCATCGTTCGTTTGCAGTGCAAGCTGTACATCTATGGAATTCTCTTCCGGTTTCTATAAGACGTGCGGAAACTATTATTACATTTAAAACCCGTCTGAATTCCTATTTTCTGACATTGTAATATTTTTATTTTATTTTTATTTATTGACGTGACAACGTCTTAAATTAGGTTGCGGCTGGGAGTCACTTATGAAAAAGTGTAACGCTCGGTAACGTTACGATGAGTTTAAGTTTACATGTACAATGTTTTAGTAAACAAAATATATTTCTATAGTTAAAATTTGTGCAATTCTTATTTTCATTCAATTCCTTGTTCCTATTGTGCAATTTAATTATATTCATATCAATAAATATTCTACCGAGAAAAAGACGTTGTCACGTAAAATCTTCGCCCGTAAAACCGACTTTACAGGCAACCATTTTTTTATTTAAACTTTATTGACCAAAATACAATATAATGGTACAAAAGGCGGACTTAATGCTAATAGCATTCTCTCCCAGTCAACCTTTGGGAAAAAAGAAAAACGCGAACGGCGGTATAAAGCTAAATATACACATAAATATTGATATAATAAATAATATTAAAATACGAATTAACATAGATACATATATAAATACATATTACGAAAGGAATACACATACATACATACCTCTATATTTAGAGGTATGTATGTATGTGTATGTATATTTTATTATCTGATGTGCTTACAACTGCCTTCTAACTGGACTGGATCAATGTATGTATTTGTATTTATACTTATTATATGTATGTATATATATATATATATATATATATATATATATATATATATATATATATATATATGTATGTATATATATCTTATATGTGTATGGTATATACTAATATATTATATAGTTTACCAGCGATTTACACCGCCGTCTCTACCACTTCCTTCTAATCCTCTCCATCCAAAGGTTGCCTGGAAGAGATCGCTTTAAGCGATAAGGCCGCCCATTGCATCACGTGTACTAGATGGTTTTGTACTTAATTTTCAATGAGAGAGAGAGAGCGCGAGAGAATCATTTCTATTGACCACATTATAAATTTACAAAACAACATACAAAAAAATAAGAAAATATACATAATGGAGAAAAGAAGAAAAAAATAAAGTACCATTTGTGGTCAATCAGGACCCTGCCTCAGCGTAATGCTGCCGCAACACGCTATAAAACGTGTCACAGCAGCGCTGGTATTCTGGCAGGGCCTGTTATGCCGGAACCTCACATGGCCAATCGCATCCGCCTCGATAGCAGTTCCTTCCTCTCACTGCCCGTTATGGATACATATCTATCAAATAGCAAACACGATTAGCCACATGACTTGCCAGCACAAGGTGCGAAAGAATACACTTTCTGAATTCTGCGCTCCGTAATCTGTGGCTGTCGCCGCACAAAAACAGTGAAATTGAGTGGTACAAACTCAGTAATTGCTCAGCAACTTGAATGGAAAAGGGAAGCAGCTATATAATCCCGTCAATGGTTTTTTTTTGTGGTGTACAATAAAGAGTTTTTGTATTGTATTGTATAATACACTATCTTTCGTATTGTTACAGGGAACGTATTCCTGAAGCATGGCTCCGAACTAAGACTTATCCCGAGGGACAGGGTGGGGCACATCCCGACTTAGTCACAAATTCTATACTCTCACCATTCCCTTGATTAATTTAAGAACCTTTTTTATATATAGAATATATTTTATGTTTAAATATTATTATTATTAAAAGTTTTTTAGTATATTTCACAATGTGTTGTTTTGATTATAAACCTATTCGAAATACTATATGTAGTGTTGGGTAGGACACGACTTGAAAAAGAGTTTGTAAGAGTAGCCTCTTTTTTGTACTGAGCCAGTACAATGTCCCACTTCAAATGAGGCGAGGCGTACAGAAGCTTGACGAGTAGCACCTCCTTTACGCACTATCAATCTTGCTGGATCCAGCATGCAGGACAGCGCTATACACGTAAAAGAGATAGAGATACAGATGGATAGTGCGTAGAGGACTTAAATGAAATGTCATGCCTCGCTCTCTCTCAGACTTACGAAGAGTGAGTGAGTAACGAGACGCGACTATCGCGACATTTAATGTGAAGTAGTACATTTTAAAATTTTGAGCCGCTCTTAGCCGCGCCGGGACCAACGGCTTAACCTGCCTTCCTGCTGGGGCAGAGGCCTTCCCTATGGATGGAAACTAAGATTCCCTAAGAAGCTCAAGATAATAAATTTTTGGTCACCCATCCTAAAACCGACCATTGCGAGAGTTGCTTAACTACCACAATCTAAGATCGAACGCGCTAACCACTTACGCCAATGAGCATAGTTTTCATCATATATATTTCCAGAAAGAACTATCGACACACCCAGCAATATAAGTTTTGACGGTCCCTACTAGTGTTGCCGATCGATAGTCGACTATCGATGATTAATCGATAGTCTATCCATAGCCAGCCAATCGTATGACAATCGATCGGCTTATCGATAGTATCGATACTATCGATAGCACAGAAAAAGCCAATACTATCGGATGAGTTAAATACTATCGATAGCATTGTAGTTCGTTAATAAGAAACTATCGGTAGTATCGATACTGTCGGCTTTATTTGCAACCATACTATCGATAGTTTAACAATTTGCAATAGTATTGTTTACAATTTTCAGGTATTATAGTCAATCACAAACTTTAGTCTAAAACAATCGCTAGTATCGATACTATCGATAGTATTGTTGCAGATAAAATCAACACTATCGATACTATCAATATTTTGTTATTAACGAACTACAATAGTATCGATAGTATCTATAGTATTACACTCATTCGATAGTATTGCCTTATTCTGAGCTATCGATAGTTTCGATACTATCGGTTGTATCAATTCTATCGATAGGGTACATGATGTTCGATGTAAACTGTCGATAGTTTTAATATCGATAGTTCGGCAACACTAGTCCCTGCCTAAAAATAAATGTTGCATTGAGCATAAAGTTATTACCAGTATACGCAGTTTTAAAGCTGATTCAATAACCACCTTTTCGTGTGTTTTTAAAATTATAGCTCAACCATATATATTGTCACTAACGCTCACGAAAAGTAACCGCGAAAGTGCTAGAGATCGAATTTGCCAGATCACCACGGGTCGCGATAGAGGTCGAGTAATGCGGCTCATTCTGAAATGAGCCTTATGCAGTGCGGCGTAAGGGTGAAAGTGCAACGACATCTGCACTTGTTTACAAGTTATGCGCGTTACCTGCGTAGGTATAAGTAGGTATTTCGTACTCGCGGGTGCTAGCTAATTCTCAATTTAACAGGTACTTTCTAGAATGCGTCGATCGGCGTATATAAGCGCGATTGGCGCCTCGCAGAGACAGTTGAGTTTCAACAGCGATTTCGGAGCAAATCCAAAGGCGATCAAAGTGCAACAAAAGTAATCCAGTGCAATAGTTTAGTGACTTATATAGTGAAATACAGTGTTTAGTGAGTGTTTTGTAATTAACATTGTGTGTTAATTGTGTGAACTGAGTGGTGAATAAAGAACTGTCAAGCGTGAACTGGCATATAATTTCGAACCCCATCCCGACAGGTAACAATATTTTTGCTACAGGCCGTTGAAAATTTTAACACCAAGTGGACAGATAGATGTGGCCGAAAGCACATAAATAATTTTAAACTTAAATGCTCTGATGACTACAATAATAAAAGAAACAAATTAATGTGTAACTTTGGTAAAATTTATTATAATTATTGTTCGTAAACAAATAATAGTGAAGCTTAAAACTAATGGAACAAATTTCACAGCGCATTCTGAGCACTATCTCCATCAATTCAATTCAATCTAGCCGCATCAGAGGCTCCACAGCCCTCAGGAATGACTTCTCGAACTCCATACTGGAGAACCGATCCACTGCAGCTCTGCAAACAAATATTAAATTAGTTATATTATGTATACAGGATGTCCCACGGCTACCTCACACGGAGGGAAAGCTTAATTAAATATTGAAGATAGGATATTTTACTCAAAGAAGACATCATTTTATTTTTAATAATAACTAGAACTGCATTCATAGATTTTTTTTAAATCACCTGCTACAACTGGGAATCGAACTCGTGAAATTTCGAAAAAAGAACACGACATATTTTATGATAGCCATGAGCCCAGGTATCCGGTCCGGGCGTCCAACAATCCCGTCTTCAGTAGCAACACAACAAAGCTCACCCGGTGCTGCCAAAATCTCTTCTCATCCATCGTCTCACCTGGCCACTTCCACAATCCTATATCTAATTATTTCTGCAGCTAATCAGCTTATTAGGCTGTCTCCATAATTTTCTCTCTGCAACTACTCGACTTTTTTTTTATATTAAGGTAGGCAAATGACTCTACCCCACCTGATGTTAAGTGGCCCAAATGGTAATAAAGTCCAAACGCGAAGATAGCTGGTACAGCAGTTATAAACTGCTACACCAATCATCCTCACCTTGCCGGCCTGCAAAAATGCTTCTTCACGCCTCTCTTAAAGGACCCCAGGTTATAGGAAGGAGGGAACACTTGCGCGGGTAAAGAATTCCACTTACGAATAGTACGACAAAGAAATGAGTCACCAAATTTCTTTGTTCGTGTAGGAATAGTGGCCACAGTAAGTCGGTGGCAACGAAGGCCAGCGCGCGTGGTCCTCCGAAGAAAAGGTGATGGAGGGATAAGGGAGAATAACTCCTCAGAACACTCGCCGTGGTATAGACGATAAAATGCGCTTAATGATGCCACATCGCGTCGTAATTGTAATTTTCTTACCTGGCTACCTCTACAATCAGTGCCGTCTTTGACCTATTGGAGGCCTTGGGCATATTAGGATAATGGGGCACCTATGACTTCCGTTTGGTGATTTAACAGGAACTAGGGACTTTGTTGAGGAGAAGGAGTTGAGGAGCTCGATGCCGCAAGTGGTTAGCGCGTTCCGCTGCGATCGTTGAATTTAAGCAACTTTCGCAGTGGTCGGTCATTGGATGGGCGACCGAAAAAATACTACCTCGAGCTCCTCCGTGCTTCGGAAGGCACGTTAAGCCGGTCGTTAGCACCTACCAATCCGCACTGAGCCCGCGTGGTGGGTCATCGCCCAATCTCCCTATTCCATCCATAGGGAAGGCCTGTGCCCCAGCAGTTGGGACATTAATAGGCTGATGATGATGAGGGACTTTGTATTTGACCTGAGGTCTTCGTATACAATCCTGTGTCTTCATATCGACACATCTGTTCTGGTGCTTCTAAAATCCCAAGTCACCGTATCTAATCAGCTTGACTGTCACCAGATGTCTCTAATCCTTTCACAGCTTCACACAACGTTCGGTATGCTATTACGGCAAAATTATATAACTATCCTTCTATTGACAAAGACTGGGGTCGCCAGGAGCAGTTGGTGATGAAAGACTATGTACTTTGTTCTCCATTATACACAATAAAGGACATGGTAAATTTTTGTATGAGCGACTGCCCTGGCAATGTATAAATACTATACTTAGTAATATTTAATGGTAAAAGGCTGAATATTTATTATTTCTATGAAAAAAGGCTCAGGAACTTTTGATAAAGTCACAATCTTGAAAATTATGAGAACTCTAACTATGTCATTACCTTACTACAGTTGATAAAAGATGCTGTCAATTATTTACAGAGTCATCAATTTCGCATTTTCTTAGAATCTTTCTTCCCATTTCTCTGATTAAATCTTCACAAAAAGTTTTTTTAAAGCAAAAATAAATACAAATTATTTGTTATCGTCGGCCTGACAGGAAAGGATATTGCTCGTTCCCCATACATTGAATGCCCTAGAACGCCCAGCAATGAGAAAATGCTAGTTGTGTTCGGAATCATTCATTAACTCTAATTAGGCATTTGTTGAGATACGGACAACTTGAGGAACTGTGGCCTACTACAGAATGTATTAGATTTTGAGGTTATAAATATTATACTTAAGCGTAGAAGATGTACACTTTATATATTCTGAATAGATTTAGTGTTTACCTCTATGTAAGCACTTAAATAATATGCATTAAATGAACATAAAATGCAATTAATAATAAAAATAATAAATGCTTATATTCATATTGATTTATGACTGTTGTCAGTTGGCACCTATGATACCTTTACCTACCTATAGTAATAATAGATTTCTTTTCAAATGAAATGTTCAAAGTATTTCCATTTACCTATTTCTATATTTTACTATCGGTAATTAGGTATGTACCTGGTTATCATTATGATTTTCATAAAAATAAACAGATGGGATGGGAGTATAAAGTATCTTTACATAATTTCAGAAATAATCTTTTTATAAATATAATATAAATACTCGTAATAAGTATTATCAACTAAGGTACCTAGTTCTATTTTTATGTTGATAAATACCTATGGTCGCCTATATTGCATTTATTAAGGTAAACAATCTTGGCACAACTTTTTAACAGAATCACCCATTTAAGAATAAAATATTAACGATGCCAATAAACTATTAAAATAAATCGTTATTATAGACTGAACCTATTGAATCCAGTTATCAGTTGATTTTTAATGCTGTATTTTCAATAAAAAGGAGTGCCAAGTTGGATGAACAGACTGTAGTATCTAGTAACAGAACTTTTATTTTATATTTTTTTAAACAGATTGTCCGTTTACTATGATTAATTGCTAATAAGTTAAAAAAATAATAGAGAAATAATAGTGAAGGACATTCTTTTGGGCATGCTAGGGCCGATTTCGTCGATGTCCTTTGTGAAGTTTTATTTTGTCCCTTTGCAAAAATTAAAGGATTAATTTTAATTGTCTCAAGCCTAATCAGAATAATAAAATCTATTATTTTAGGCCTTCCGTGATTTGTTGTAACAACAATTAGGGCCAAATATGTCATATTTTGAAGGAGTTTAGAAATAATATTGTTGATTTCGATATACTTACACAGATATTTTTTGTGTACATTTATTGTTAAATGAACGTAACTCCATAATTTACATTTACCAACATTTATATAATGATTACTTTAAGTTCTGTTTTAATTAATTTGTTAATTTATTAATCATTTAATGTATTATTTAGATCATAAAAGCCTGAAATACAGGTACAATTTTAACTGTAACCTAGTTCAGGCATCCATTATTTTGTATTTTATATTGTTATTAGTATTATTATGCAATGTATGACCTTATTTGAATAAAGATATATTTATTATTATTATTATTGTTCATTTATTTTGTAAAACGGAACATTTTGCTTTTGAAACAGACATGGAATTCAATTTTTATACTTTTAATTATTTGACTACTTGACGAAAGTTGTATGAGAATAATAAACATGTACTTAACGAAAAGATATTGTAAAGCTACGGGCTAGTGCGAAATATTTATACACGTTAAGGGCAGTTTCTTAGCCATGTCCTTTATAAGTATTAGCTAATATGCAATAGATCATGTCTTCCTACATCTTAGTACAATTGTGAATTTCATAGAAAAACTATTATAAGCCTTATATTAGAAGGATATTTTTTTTTATGTTACTAAGCTGTTGGTTTTCTGAATAAATAAATAAATCATCGATATTAAATACCCTAGATACACCAACACGAACAAAATCGTGGCCGAAACCTGTCCAAAAGGTACATTGAACGATCCACGGAGCTCCGTAAGATGATCGCGTAGTCAAAATCAATATGAGGCATTATTTAAATATTGAAAGTAACCTTTAATACATACTGTATAAGGTCTTAAATAAAACGCATGCGTCAAGGACTCATGACAGTTCGAAATGCAAGCTCGTAAAATTTTACGACTTATTGATATATGCGGAAGAATTTAGACCTTAGTTCTTTGACTCTACGCGCAATTCCGAACGCGCTGTTAGCAATATAGCAGGCACGGACCGCGAGGAAAAGAGACGGCTATATGGCGACGTATAATGCATTTGAATACCACAAATGTTTTATATTAAATCAGCTTATAGTAAGTATTAGATTAAAATTTACTTCAAATGCGTTAAATCAACAAACATTGACTAGATATCTGTCGAAAAAACCACACTTTTCGTACTCTGAGTATTATTTTCGCATTTTTTCGCGGAGCTCTGTGGCATCTTGGCCTTGTAACGGTCCGCGCGTGACTGTGAACCAAGAAGTGCTTGAAGTTCAAGCACTTCTTGCTTGGGACACGTTTCGAGCGCTCGTGGTGTATCTAGTGCGTGGTGTATCATGCAACGAATAGTATATTCGGCAGTATACCGAATATTCGTCGAGGCCCCTGAACGAATAGTCGAATATTAGGCAAAAGTATTCGGCTGGATTTTAGCGCCAAAAACTTGTACAGACGTGATTGATTCGCGCTTCTTTGTTTTGTTCTAATCTGCCGTCCTCAAGCTAAAATGCGGCTAAATGACAAAACCAACTTTTGAGATATGGCCAAAAACGGCGCGTAAACTTTAAATTATTGCTATTATGTAACCATTCATCACATGACTGAATGAATTCAAAACTGTTAACTTGTTTAATACAGAAAATGATTAAATTATGTACCTGTTTTATGTACTAATGACTACTTAATAAATGATAATAAAAGAAATGAGAACCTTACCCTTCTAAATCTTGATAACCACAATAATTCAAATACATAGAATCCTCCATTTTTCTAATTCAGAAGATGATTATGTACCTGTGTTATGTACCAATGACTACTTAAATGATTATATAACAGAAATGAAAATATGTTGATGATGACGTAATCAATCGATTTTAATTTTTCAATTTACCAATTATTTCTCTATGACAAAATATATTATTTAAGTATTCGGTATTCGGTCGAATAATATGTAGATATTCGGTATTCGGCCGAATATAATAAAAGCAGCCGATAGGCTTGTTGTAAATATATCGATGTATCGATATATCGATATTTTTTGCCGATATATTTTGATTCGATATATCGATACATCGATACAAAATAACCAATATCGAAATTCGTATCAAAAACGATATTTTTTTAATTATTAGCGGCATATCACGATCTAACTAAATTCGTATCTGGAAAAATCGTAACTTGATCTCAGATTAATGATATTCAACATATCTACGATCTGTGCTGTATTTAGTATTGTCTATGTCATCATTCGAAAATAGGGTCTATTTTTAGGGAGATAATTTTCGTTCCATTATTATTCCGCATGTCATATTTCGTGAGCTACTGTACGATATTTTTGGGAAAATTGGTCCGATATATCGATGTTTTTTTCGCGATATATAGAAGCCGATATTGATATTTTTTATAAGAGCGATGTATCGATATATCGATATTTTTCCAACTTTCGACATCCCTAGCAGCCGAATAGGCCGAATACCGAATAGTAACCGAACATTCGTTCTAATCTAGAGATTAGACTTGCAACGAATATACTCTAGTATTAAAATTAATTAATTAAATACAGTCTAGTATTTAATATCGTTGAAATCAATGAATAAACTCACCTAGCGGCTTCCACAATCTTCCGTCTCTCTTCCCCCGATAACGCTACAGCCTCCAATATGGCGCGCGCGTATTCATCCGGTTCCGAAGCCAGGTATCCGGTCCGGCTGGCCGGCGCCGTCTCGATAATGTCGGCTAACGGCCCGCCGGACCGGTGCGCGATCGTCACTAAGCCGGCAGCCATGCATTCCACCACGCCTGACGACAAACGACCGTTTTAACTTCATGTATTTGATCGTTGAAGTTAAGCAACTTTCGCAATAAATAAAAAAAATTATGTAGGCGCGTGAGAAGTTATCCTTCTTTGGCATCGTTTAAAATTAGTTTTTAATTGCATGCAAATAATTAATTACAATAAATTAATAAAAAGTCTGGAAAAGGACACAGTCAATAAAGTTCAGTTTTAATTTGAAAAATTAAATAAATAATCAAAATATTCAATTAAAATCGCTACTGAATATAATTTATTAGAACATATGTGATTTGCACTTGTATGAAACTCAAACACGTATTCCGAATATACAAACTAGAAACATGTGGATAAATATTATAAATATGAATACCTATAATTGTTACTTTATTACAAAAAATAAAGATGTGGTTTTTGGTTCTACTACACCAATGGTCAAGAGATGGCGCTGTAGTCTCCTGAATCGCGCTTTGGTTCCGTTGTTCCAGATTAATAAATACTTTTGATAGGCCTTCACAATGCAGTCGTTAGCACCCACTAAATAGAGATTCTATTTCTATTTTGTTGGTAGATTTTCTTAATGTGCGGTAAACACAATAAGAGCATGAAGTTGGTCGCTAAAGCGATCTTAAAATTTCACTCTCATCATTTTTTCATAACGCGCCTAAAGAAGTATAACTTCAAAAACCGGTACTCACCAATACCGAAGTGCTCGTTCCACATCGCATGCAGAGCTATACTGCTGGTCTGGTAGAGCTGCAGCAGGCGAGCATACGGAGCATTCACTACAAACTTGACGCTGTCCTCCAATGAGAGATGTCTCGCCAGATCTTGCAGCTGTCTCACTCGCTGCTCGTCTTCCGAGTGCCTGCATGACCCTACTAGCACCAGTTCCATCTACGTAAATTATTATGTAAGTCAAACATTGGGCTGGAGGATTTGATTTGATCGTTGAAGTTAAGCAACTTCCGCTGTGGTCGGTAATTGGATGGGTGACCAAAAATTTACTATCTCTCACTCCTACGTGTTTCAAAAGGCAGGTTAAGCAGTGCGTCCGCTTCTCGGGAGGAGTTCGATCGTTGCGATCGTTGAAGTTAAGCAACTTTCGCAGTGGTCGGTAATTGGATGGGTGACCAAAAATTTACTTTCTCTCACTCCTCTGTGCTTCGGAAGGCACGTTAAGCTGTTAATGCCAGCTGCATCTGCAGTCGGTAGCATCCGCCAATCCGCACTGGGCCCGCGTGGTGGGTCGTGGCCCGAACTCCCTATTTCATCCATAGGGAAGACCTGTGCCCCAGCAGTGGGGACATTAATAGGCTGATGATGATGAATTTAATTTGAGGCCTATCCTATGAATGAAATAGGGAGATTGGGCCATAACCCACCACGCGGGCCCAGTGCGGTTGACGGGTGCTAACGACTGCAGATGCAGCCGGGACCAACGGCTTAACCTACCTTCCGAAGCACGGAGGAACTCGAGATAGAAGATTTTTGGTCACCCATCCAATGACCGACAACTGCGAAAGTTGCTTAACTTCAACGGACGCAGCCGAACGCGCTAACCACCTGCACTATAATAACCCCCCCCCCCCCCCTTCAAAGCCTCTAAATAACTTTTTTTCCTGGGTCCTTTCCCGGTCGTCCACCTTTAAGGGCAGGGCCCCCAAGAGGGCGTTATCGCCCACTTTGGGAAAGGCTGTTATAGACGCTTTCGGTACAAAAACTATCTACTCTGACGAAATCCCTTGCACCGCCAGAATAGGGTATTTGACAGTATTAAAAATAAAATGCCAATTGTAAGCATCTGTATTTAGAATGAATATTGGAAGGAGTTTTTACTATTTTTACGGAAAAAATAATTATAATTTTACTAGAAACCCACGAAAAAGATAATAGTTTTCTTATCTATTGTCACGTGACCCAAAACGCTTGGGATTGGCGGAGCCTAAAATGACGTCACACGCAAGTAAACTTCCGGTTAAAGTGACATTACATTGTATCGTTTGACGTTTTAATAACAGTCGTGTGACGTCACACGCTAGTAAGACGCCATATTGTCCAGAGAAACGTTTTCGCGGCAACTTGAAAATGGAGTTGTTGAAATGGTTATTTTTACTGAAATACACAACAGAATGATGAATATCCACTTTTTACGGACTCCTTAAACATTAGTCAATAACGTGAGATCATTTTCTAAAACTTGTCAAATATTATGATTGTTACACAGTTGCAATAAAAACAATCTGATTTTGACATGTGTATGGTTTTTACGCACCTTGTTCCAGAGTAGTTCGTTCTTGACGAGCAGGTTCCTTAGTTCATACATGGCTTGAAGCATTAGAGGATGGTCCTTTTCGGGCCGGAATTGTCCCACTGACAGTATCCTGATTGGGTCCGACTCCTTGACCAAAGATCTGAGCTGCTTTAACTCAGCTACCTGTTGTAGATAACATTAATCAACATTACCATATTGAAAGGGAAGATAAATAAAATAAATAAATAAATATTTCCAACACTCACACCAATTAGCCTAGCCCCAAAGTAAGCACTATAAGGCTTGTGTTATGGGATACTAGGGTAACGGATAGAATACACATACTTTACATATATAAGTATCTTTATATATATAATTCTTCTGTGAGTGTGTATGTCACTGAACTTCTCTTAAACGACTGGACCGATTTTGATGAAATTTTTTGTGTGTGTTCAAGGGGATCTGAGAATGGTTTAGATTCACAATTTTGTCCGCTGGACAACCCCTATTTTTTTAGGGCGGTACGCAGTTCGCTGGGTCAGCTAGTATTTATATAGAAATACATATTTAAACATCCATGACTGGAGTACAAATGCTCGTGTTCATCACACAAATATCTGTCCCCACCGGGATTCGAACCCGGGACCTCTCGAGTCGGCGACGCCATGAAACCCGGCGTACAAACCACTCGGCCACGGAGGTCATCAAAAAATCAAGATAAAATAGGATTAGAGAAAACTAGCAAACCAGTGAACCAAATGTTCACCAAAACCTGATTTCTCGAAAACCGGAAGTGCTACGTTACTCAAATCCGGTTTGTAGTCTTATCAGACTATTCTTAACTTATAACTTAAACATTCTCTTTATCTACCTCTTACGGTTTGGCCGCTGAAACAGCACCACAGACGGACGGACGGACTTGTCTAATAGATAAGAGATTGGGAAAAATACAACATTAAAAGATGTCAGAAGCACAAGTAAATGTATTTGTTTCTTAGGTTTTCACGCACATCACTCATTAAATGACATGTTCACTCATGTTTTCCCGGAACAATATAATCTGGACATCTTCAAGGCCAGAGTGAACAGGCATCTACTAGGCAGGCGTGTACCACCTTAGGCCACATCATCGCTTTCCATCAGGCGAGATCGTAGTCAAACGCATTGCCTATTATGCATTAAAAAAAAAGTATTTTTTTTTTCATAATATCGAAATATAATTAAAGGACACCCGACATTTCGTGCCAAAGTTGTATACTTTAATTTTTTATGTTTCATAATTGGGTAACGTAGTCTGGCAATATTTGTCATCAGCAGCTAGCTGTCAATGTCAAATACGTAGGTTTGTCATCAAAAGGGTTTCTATATCAAAAAATATTAATCATTAAATAACTTCTTTCCACGATTCACTAAAAATAAGGCAAAAGTAGTTTTATGTAGCAAATAATTTTGGCTTTATTTTGAGACCAAATTCAACTGTATACAAGTTTAGCATTTTTTCTATGAAAAGTGCCGGGTCTCCTTTGTTTCTTAGGTTTTCACGCACATCACTCATTAAACAATTTATCATTATTCTGGCGATGCAGACCTTAAAAGGTTGCGAAACGTCAATAAATAAATAAAGTACGTGCATTAACCCGTTAAAACTAGTTTTATTTTTATATTTATTTATTGCACTCATGTGGTTATTACAGATGTTACATAAAAAATTAAAGATACAGACACATGAACCCTGAAAGGGTAAAGCAATTTAATTTAAAATGTCCTTAATTACAAAAATTAAATTAAATAAAATTAACTTGAACATAATTGGTAACTAATAATTAATAACACTGACAAATAGCATTCAATAATAACAATAATAATAATTTCAAATCAAATAACATTACGTAGGAACATTAAAAAAATAAATAAGTAAGGTCTTGCTTAAACTAACTAGGTACTATTAAAATTGAAGAACTCTTGCATCGAATAAAAGCTCTTTGATAAAAATGATTTCAGTAGTTTTTTAAATTTGACTGCGTTTTTTTAATTTTTTATATGTTCGGCAATTTTATTGTACACTTTCACGGCCATAGCAAAAGGTCCTGTGTGTACTAAATGCAACTTGGAATTTGGTGGGAATAAAAAAAATGTAATAACCACATGAGTGCAATAAATAAATATAAAAATAATAATAAAACAAAGTTGTTTATTTTTTGTTTTCACATCACTAGTCATGGCCCAGTCTCCCTGTTCCATCTATAGGGAAAGCGTGTGCCCCAGCAATGAAAGAAAGAAATAATTTTATTTAAGACAACAAAAAAAAAATATAAAAAATAAAATAAAACAATTAAATTTAGTCTCAAAACGGTTCCAACTCAGCATAGTGCTAATGTTGCCATTAGCGCTGGTCTTCCGTTGGAACCGGTTTGGTGTCGCACGAATCAAAGAATAACAAATAACATACAAAAATAAAAAACAGAATAAAAAACCAGGAATAAAAATAAAAACAAAACATTCTTGGCTGAATGTATCAATATCTTTGCCACAGCCATTTAAAAAGAAAGAAGAGAGTTTTTGTCGGGATTTCATCGAGTGTGGTTGGCGTCTTATTTTAATTATTCTTAAATTCGTTCATAGTGGATATTGTGAAATAAAATTGGTGTGATTTTGTGTTACAAATGTCTGCGTGGGGACATTAATAAGCTGAAGTTGATGATGCCTCACCTCGCAAGGTGGATAAACGCGGTGAGTGCTGAATGGTATCCGCCACAGGTCATTGATGTGGTCCTCCGTCCAAGTGCCGTTGACCATCACAACGTCAGCACATCTACCCATCACGCCATACAACTACAACCAAAACTTAAAGTAAAGTATAAATTAACTATGTAAAAGCTTTGCGAACTATTTTGGCGTATTTTTGCACCCCAAAATCAAATCAAAATATAGGCCAGAAACGAATGCGTTTCTATGGTTTTGACGCCCTTTAAAGCTCTTTTTTTTGTTACGAAAACATATTTATTGTATTTAATTTAAGGTAACCTACATTCTTAACGGCAGAAAACGTAACTCAGCACGCAATTTAAAAAAGAAAATGTTATTCTAAGAAAAACAGTACATTCGTGCGGAAAAACAGGAGAAATTTGAGAAAAACAGGAGATCTCTTGTAAAATCGGGAGACCTGGCAACACAGGGCGTACGTGACTATGAGCAACACCGCACTGCACATTTTGTCCAGGAGAAATAGGAGATTTGGAACATATTATTATGAAATGTCAAAAGTTATGAAATTGTGACATACCAACAGAATTGCATAAACTTTTAGGGAACCATTTATTTTATAAACCTATATTTAATTTTAGAATGTTACACTGTAGAAAAATTGTTAAATGTAAATAATTAACTAATATATTAAGTTGTATGTTCTTAGTAATAAGCTAGGCATAAGGACAATGTATCCATTGCCAATAAATTAAAAAAAAGTGACTACGAGCCTGCGCGCTGCGCGCCTACCAATTTGAATCAAGGCAATAGAACAGCTTTAATGTGTGCATATTTGTGGCAGGACCTACTGCGTTGCCCGGATGGTATACGCTATTGAGCTAACACTTTAACAGAAATGAGTCAATTGCATAAAAAATGTACGTCATACAAAAGAAGTATACAAAGGAATTATGTTTTTTCGTCATACAAAAGAATTTGTGTTAGACAAAGGAATTCATAAAGCAGGGTTCATATTGACATTATCCGTCTGATGTAATAAAAATAAAACAAATTAAAAGTATAAGTAGTTTAAATCTTTGTTTTTTAAAATAATGGGTCCCATTAAAAATTTGAAAAAAAAATGTAGTTTCATCTCCAATATTACTCCAAACTATAAATTAGCTTAAAAAACAATTTAGGCTCCAAACAAAATATAAAACAACCTAATTTAAAAAAAAAAATAGCTCTTTAGAAATAAAAGGGAGCTTGGAATCCTAATTTTAAATATAAAAAGGAAACTACAAAATTAGACATAGTCAGTCTATAATAATAAGTCTTCTGAATATTAAAATCTATATTTAAATCAACAAATCAAAATATGGGAAACTTAATACAAGTACGTTAGTTGAAAATAAATCTGATTGACATCCGTTATCACAATCAACTTGTAATAGTAATTAAACATACCTACTCGTTATGCAAAATGACGTTTATTGTTTGGCTTGAACTGAAATATTGGCACATAATACCTAATGTAATTGTACAGTCCAGCATTTCTCTCGTAATATTTTACTAAAACATGGAGTTCAATTTCCAAATAAAAAAAATGGTTGCCTGTAAAGTCGGTTTTACGGGCGAAGATTTTACGTGACAACGTCTTTTTCTCGGTAGAATATTTATTGATATGAATATAATTAAATTGCACAATAGGAACAAGGAATTGAATGAAAATAAGAATTGCACAAATTTTAACTATAGAAATATATATAATACGTCAAAAAAACATATTACAATGCATTGTGCTTGTGAATACCATCGTAGCATGCAACCACGCTACGACGATTCGTAGCAAACTTGCTACACGGCTACGGGGTTCCAGCATGCTACGAGACTCATCGTAACGTTACCGAGCGTTACACTTTTTCATAAGTGACTCCCAGCCGCAATCTAATTTAGACGTTGTCACGTCAAAATAGATATTTTACAGCTCTTTAAAAATAAAACATAATTGAGTTTAGTTTTCAAAAATGACATTAAAAAAATAAAGACTTAAAATTATTAAACATCAGTCTAAACAAATAATAATACTGTGCCTTACAATCTTCATTAGATTAACAAAAAAATATGTGTTACATCAAAATATTACCCTTGACTTAATTATCTTGTATTAGCAATCAAAAGTAAACACGATCAACATCATTCGTCAGCTGAAATTCATTTAACACGGTTTTCAAATTAATAATTTTAACGATACATATAGCTGGAACAACGTCAACATCGATTTTTTTTTGTAATAATGAATTTTAGATAAGGATTTTTTACAGTTTTTAAAAATCGGACTTTATAATGAATTTCATCCATTTTCATTTCTTTATCTTCTACGAAACCTACATAATATACCCACTTTTTCTTTTCATAGTATCTGACTAAGACACTATCGTTAATACTGTATATCATGTCACTTAATTTTGCTTGTACTTCAATTTGCCTTTCACTCTTATTTACTTTTTTGTCATTATTTTCACAACCTTTATTTTTTATTTCAGTTGTAGTATTCTGTATAGTATTCTCTTTTTCCTCCATAATTGCCTCCACAATGTCAATTTTATTTATATTAGATTCATTTAGTTTCAAGTTGGGTTTTTTTAATGTTCCCTTTTCCTTTTTAATGTTATTTTTGTTATGAATGCCTGACGTTGACGGGGTAGGATTATTGTATATATCATTATTTATTTGCGAATTTTTATTTATCTGTTTGAGTGTAAGAGGACCATATTTACTTAAATCAAAAAGTCTCTTGTTTTCTGGCGTATCTCTTATATCTGACAAAATTGTTACTTTTCTATCAATACATTCAACATTTTTTTCTGATTCTTTACTAACCGCAACATTATTTTCATAAGCTTTACTTTCTATTGTATTTTCATCAATAATTTCACTATCTTCGAACTCAGATTCCAATCGACTCTCACTTTTCCAGCTACTGTCATCTGACTCGGCATAACTAATCTCACATTCATGTTCAGTGTCACTACTTGATCCTTCAAAACGCCTTCTTTTAATGGTCTTTGGGGTCTTACCCTCAATTTTTCTCTTTTTTTCATAAATCTTTTTTTTCTCTTTTAAATTATGTTCCTTTATATCAAAGCAGGCACAGTAACCAGACATCGTCCCACAAAAACAACTTAATTTTCTATATTTGATCGTATCAGTATTTGGCATAGAAATTACTTGGTGAATAGCTATGGTATTTGGTACAGGAATGAGGTCTTTTACCGTTGAATCTAAACCTTTCACGCCAGCATCTACATCTTCATTGGATACAAAGAAAAAAATAATCTTCGAAGAAGCGCTCTCAACAAGTGCGTTGTATGCTGCCTTCGCGTCGGGAATGTCTTGTCCGTGAGTAACATAGCTATCCAAATTTCTTTTTGTCGCCCCTCCAATTCCATCTGCCGCACCTTTCCCGTGACTGGCTTCGAAAAAGGACCATGTTGCCCTTGTGAATCCATATAGGGACATCATTTTATTAAGCATGTAAAAGTTTTTTTTCTGCCGGTACTGAGTTGTTGGGCCATCTGAATAGAAATGCATAGTAGTTACTTTCGGATATTTCTCATTGATAAGCTGTAATATAGGTGTCAGATGGGCCCATATTGCGCCAGGACTATGATTTGTGTTGGGAGATATAGTACAGAAAGATGTTGTCTGCAGTTTACCCTCAAATTTGGCATAAAAAACACCTGTGTGTAAGGAAATCTGTTGTTTGGATGCTCCGAAATGTATAGCTTGGACTTCTTCCGCGAATTTACACGCATAATTTTCGGAGAAGTCACAATGCAAAAGAATTTCTTGTTCAGTTAAGTTATCCTTACAATACTTGTACATTCTATATTGATGAGTGATATTAAAATGGTGTTTCTTAAACAAAAGCATCTGGTCACAAAATGTAAGCAGTAGTGTTTCTAGTGTCTGTGTTACTTCCTCTTTCACTGTTCTTTTAGTAATCTTGTTGCCATATTCGTGTTTTTTTGTAATCCATCTTTTACATGTCACTGTGTCTTTCCGGTTTCGGTGCGATAAATCATAGCTAACACTTTTTTTAGAACAGACGTTACATTCACCATACGTACATTCCGGATTGTTGATATTACATGCGATAGTAGAAACTAACTGGGTTAAATTATCAGTATTTATTACACTTAGCTGTTTTAGTTTTTTTGCCATGAAATCCAAATTAGCATGTTTAACACAGGCACAAGTATTTCGATCGCTTAATTTTGGACTAAGAATATAAAAAGGTTTGTATCGAGTAAACATGGTGTAAGATAATTTTCCTCCTTCGCTTTTATATTTCATGTGTAAATTTTTCATTGTATCTAATAAGTATCGAACCTGTTGCCTTTTTTTATGTAAGGTTCTATATTCTTGTTTGCCGGCCGATGCACGGCTATTGTCATCTCTACTTAAAAAATCATTTAGTTCTTTTAAGCGACGTATTTTTCTGTCTTTCTGTAGTTTCCGGCTTCTTATTCTACCTTTTAGCCCTAAAATAGTACTCAATTTTGTTTTCATTTTATAGTTTGATATGACATCGTTATTTACAATTTTTTTAAATGTTTCTCTTTCAGAATTGTTTGTTGTTTGAGAGTACTGCTTACTCAATGAATCTTTAATCAATATATTTTCAAATAGTATTTTTTTTACAATATTTTTCTCTGGAGTTGCAATTTGTATTAAACTTTGCTGTATGAAATTATCGGTTTTAGATTGCGGAGTTTGAATGTTCTCTTGGATTATATCTTCATTCGCAGTCTTTGTTTCTGGAGTTGGCTTTTGTTTTGTTTTTACAATATCTCTTAAATGCTTTACTTGCTTTTTGTACCTATAGATGCACTTTTTCTGACTTTTTATTTTTAATAATAATAAATTTATAGTAGACTTTAAGTTTGAATTTTCTTTAGACAATTGATAACGAAATTTACGTTTTTCTTTTTCTTCTATATCTTTTTGTGAGTCTTTAAAAACTTCTTTATTCTTTTTGTCTTTTTTCTGTTGCCTCCATTTTTGTCGTTGCAGATTTCTTTCACATTCATTAAGCTCCTTTGCTTTTCTATATTTTCTTTTAGTCTGCTCTAAATTTTTTATTTTTATTTCTTTAAGTTTCTCTGGATCGCTGTCTCTTAGCTTTTGAAGATATCTTCTCTGCCGTTCTGCTCCGGATAGAGGCATAGTCTAAAAGAATAATTAAAACAATTGATTTTTATACATTAAATAAAAAAATTACTGCAAAAAAAAACAGAAAAAAGTGCAAGTGACAAAATATTGCCGAATTTCGGGACCTCTTGTTGGTAAGAAAAGAGAGGGATTTCTCCATCTCTTTTTTTACTATAGGGGGTCTTTGTTTTTCTTCTTTTCAGGTTTTTTGGAGTTGGGTTTTTTATATTGTTTTTATAATTTTTTTTATGCTCTCATTATAATAATATTGCTAACAACACTTCCGCAAAAGAGACCAAACAATATGTCATTTACTAATATACAAACATTACCTTACCCTCTTTTTATTGGTAGGTAGTTGGTTAAAAATATCATTTCTTCAAACAAACATTTAAAATGTTGAAGTTTATTTTTGACAGGCATAATAATTTACTGAGTAATGTGTATAGACCCTATCGTCATTTCCTTTGTATGACGGTAGGCAATGTCATACAAAGGAACCAAATTTTGGTGTGACAAAACCAATTCTCAAAAGTTAGGTTACGAATTTGTAAAATTATCACAGTTCTGATACACTCATTGTTTACACATAGGTTAATCTATTACGTAAAGAAAAATGACAAACAAAAACCATAAACTTACCTAAATATAACGTCATACAACTGGAACTTTTCTCACAACAAAATTCACTTCACACCGGCAATCCGAACACCACTGGACAACTAAGATGGTTGACATTTGATGTTGTTAGGTTGGCAGTAGCATTAATGTTGCCACACGTGAAAAAACAAACAGATGCGTTCCTCTAGGTTTAGAAACATCTAAATCTTAGTCATACAAAGGATGTTACACAGAGGAAGAAAAGTTGAGACAAGTTTTCTTCACGGAATTTAGTAAGAAAATTGATTATGATTGATTATAGTTTTTGACATACAAACAAACGCTTTTTTCTCTGTCGTTTATAAATCTAAGCTAAAATTATAAATTTTATATAATTAAGCAGAAATAGTAGTTATCAACAAAAATAAATTATCATATTAATAACTGTTTGTTTGTTTTTTAAGTTCATTTTATTATGATGGACAATTTATTTTTTCACTAAGTACAATTTTTATGCAATTGACTCAAATGTCAACATACTTAAATATTGAATTCATGTAAATATTGGTGTGGATCCTGGCAGGATTCTCTAAAACCTAAATTTAACAGCAGCAGTGACAACAGTGTATCCTTGTCATTCTCTATACAGAATAAAAAGGATGGATTGATGTTAAATTTAGCTTTAAGTTTAGAGAATCATGCCAGAATCGACACCATTATTTATTGATAATATATTATAACAGCGTACTTGTAAATATATATTCTAGGGTAAATAAAGTTTAAGTGTAGATATAAATTTATTGAACGAGCATTTATTTGACGACATTATGTGATTTGACGAATCACTTGACCTTTCGGCACAGTGCTGCCATCTGGCGTGTGGAATGAAAACACTTATTGACCACTAAGCTATTCCATCATAATTTTAATTTAAGCATTAACCTGTTTGCATTAACCATTTTAAATCTAAAGACAGCTTTACTATATTTTTGCAAAAAAATGATAGGAAAAAATTCCAAGCCGTCCAGGCAGCAGACGGGATTCCGACGGGATGCTTATTCTTCTTTCAAATATTGTATACTGGTAAAAGTATAACGTCTGACATTGTGGGTTACCTGCAATGCGAAGAGATGGCGCTGCCTTGCAGCCAAAAAAAAATACTAGAAAGAATTCGACATGGCCATTAAGGTCGCAGTAGCATGATTGGTTAATGCGGCCATCCGGATTGCAGAAAGGGCGACTTTGAATCCCATCTTCTGACTGGACCGCGTGGAAATTTTTGCTTGAAATAAATATACACTGGTATACAAAACTAAGGGCTCATCACATTTTAAAATTTTCATGTTTTTAAAACTATACAAAATAGAGATTTAAAATAAAAAAACGACGGGTTGCATTCCGGAAGAAGTGCAAACTTGAAAATTAACGTTGTGCATTTTTGATATTTTGGAATGGTTAGGGAATAATTTTGCACGAATTGTTTTAATTTATCAGCATAAAAGTACTAGTAGAATACAATATTTATTTTTTGCGCTCTCGTAGACAAACATGACAATTTAATTTACATTAAAAAAGTTTATCTCTCAGAAAAATCAACTTACATGAATCACGTTTAAGCGCACTTAGCGACATCTATTGTAAAGAAAACAACTTACATGAATCACATTTAAGCGCACCTAGCGACATCTATTGTAAAAAAAATGCATTTTCTTCGCAATAAAGCTGCCACGTGGACGTCCTAGATAAAGACTTATTATTATAATACGGTAAAATAAAATATTACTATATTTCGTCCAATATATTGAAAGTCAACAACCTTTCCAATTATATTGTGTGACATGATGCGATCAGCCCACGTGTTTAACCTGAAGCGAGTTTAACATTTTTTACCCATACAAAAAAAGTGTACAACGCCGCTAAAGAAGTTTTCACTTCAAAAAGTTTTATAGCAGATTTTATCAGCTTTCTTTGAAATTCAAGTACAAAACTAAATCCTTTTTCGAGTCCTTCTAATTTCGAAAGCTTATCTTCTGTATCAAAAAAAGTTATTGCATTTTTAAAAGTGTGACAATCAGTTTTGCAGGCCAGTGTATTAAATAATCATTTTTTTTTAGATTTATTTGGGACCTTGCGGCCCCGGTGCCCACCATCTTTCCAAAGATATCGCGAAAAGATTGGTGGAGACCACTGGAGACCGCAGAGCTGGCGGCTATTTCGCTCAGCGCATAAGCCTCGCCATTCAGCGGGGAAATGCCGCCAGCGTCCTGGGAACCTTTGCCGACGGGGAAGACTTAGGGCAGCTATTTTTTTAATATTTTTAATTTTTGTCTAGTTTTAGTGTAGTTTTAGTTTAATTACCAAATTTTTTTTTTTATGTTATAGGTGGCATACGAGCAGACGGCTCACCTGATGATAAGTGATCACCGTCGCCCATGGACACTTGCAACACCAGGAGTATCACAAATGCGATGCCGGCCTTTAAGGAAGGAGTACGCTCTTTTTTTGAAGGTTCTTTTTTTGGGTCGTATTTGTCCGGAATATTTATGTAAATTGTTGTTTTTGTATATATTGTTTATTTCCAAGATAGTCTCGTTGTTGTTGTATGTAAATAAATAAATGGCAGTGTTAAAACAAACAGACATAAACTCACCCAACCGAATATTCTGTAGTAGAGCAGCTTCACCCACGTGAATATTGGATTCCTCGCTATCACCGACGAGTTGTTGTATGTCACGATGCGATGTTTGACGCGACGCATCATCGCCGTTGTGATGGTCGGGTAATGCGTGTACGTGGCCACGGGACACTGGGCCAGGTACCGGAATATGGGGTAAGTGAACGCGAAACCAGTTGTGTCTATATAGATATCTGCGAGAAAACAAAATTCGAAGAGTTATAATTTTTATTATTTTTAAAGCATGTAACTGCTTGATGTTTAAATCTAAAGAAAATATAACTAGAAAAAATTCCAAGCGGACCAGGCACCAGACGGGACTCGAACCCGCACCCTTCGCAATCCGGGCGAATGCACTGACCAATTATGCTACCGCGGCCCTCACGGACCGCGTCGAAATTCTTCTAGCCAACTAAACTAAATAAACATAAATAAAAAATAAAATAAATTAAACTATCATAGTTTTCGAGGGGTGATGACGGGGTACAGTAAACGAAATTCCATTTAGTCCGTCAGTTAGATGATCAAAAAATAATGGACACGTATTTTTTCTTTGGGCAATCAACCAAAAAATGACAAAGTTATAGCGCGTCAAAGTTTGGGAGTAGGGGCTCGTGACGTCACTTTTGAGTGAATTTTCACTTATAAGTGTACTCAAACGTGACGTCATGCGACTTTTCAAATCAATATATCTCTGCAATGTTTATATTGTGTGAAACAGAAAAAATACGTGTTCAATACTTTGATAATCTACCTGATAAACGAAGAAAAAAGAATTAGTCATCATCCCTATTGTAAATTATGTTTTTATGTCCATTCTGGTGACAAGTAACCAAATATACTTAAAATTTCACAAGACCCAAATGATTTAATGGTAGAATTTAAACACTGTTTATTTGTATTGAAACGAAAACAATAAAATCAGTACCCTTAGTACGAGTGCGAGCTCACGAAAACTATCATAGTTTTCGTAATTGTAAATTATATATTGTTTTAAACTTTCATGGTCACTAACATTATAGTAATATAAGTTATTTACGGGATTGTTACCATGTACCTTGTTTTTAGCGAGTTTCCGATATTTCGGCACTGTTGCAAGCGCCATGATCACGGTGTAACTGAAGTAATTGCGGGTAGGCTGTTATTGGCAGACATACCGGTCTACCCTCCGACGAAGTCTTTTATTGCGTTCGATACCCGTACCACTGTTCATATTATCACTATTCACTCGAAACTGTTCTCGACACACAACACTTTCAGTATCGGATCGCGACACGACACTTTTTTGATTACTTCCGGTTTTACACATACGAACCACAGGATTCCAGACACTCGACAATTGTAATGCCGAAATATCGGAAACTCGCTAAAAACAAGGTACATGGTAACAATCCCGTAAAATAACTTATATTACTATAATTGTAAATTATGTTTTTATGTCCATTCTGGTGACAAGTAACCAAACTGAAAAAAGTAAAGTCAAATTATGACGAATCAACTCTCCAATCAGCAGGCACAAACAGTAAACAGATATGGAGACACATTAAAAATATAACATATGCCCCAAAGCAAAATGAGTCCTCTTCAAGTTTATTACACACACACTCGTCACAATTATTGTCAGCTAATAATGTCAACGATTTTTTTGTTAATGTCGGTAAATGTTTAGCCGAAAAAGTCCAAACCACATCACAGTGTCAAACTAGCCCTTTATTTAAGTCTAGTACCACGCAAACGTCTTTTGTGTTGTTTGATACAGATGAATCAGAAGTAGGAAAGATAATAATGAACTTAAAAGAGAATTGCGCAGTTGGGTGGGATAATATCCCTACCAAAATCATTAAAAATTTTAGTTATATATTAACTCCACCTCTCACATACGTTTTCCAGAAATGTCTTTGTACTGGGTATTTCCCCAAATGCTTGAAAAAAGCAATCGTTACTCCAGTTTTTAAATCTGGAAATAAAACTCAAGTAACTAATTATAGACCAATATCCGTACTGACGTCATTATCAAAAATACTAGAAAAAATTATAAATGTTAGATTGGTAAAATACTTAGAATATAAATCGATATTATCGAAAAATCAGTTTGGTTTTAGATCTAAAGTTTCAACGGCGGATGCTGTACATGAACTAACTAACTACATAGCTCAAGAATTAGATAAAGGTAATTACACCATCGGCATTTTCCTTGATCTTGCCAAGGCATTTGATTCTGTATCTGTCCCGTTCCTTCTGCGCAAACTTGAAAACATCGGAATAAGAGGCACGCAGCTCAAACTTTTTACAAGTTATTTAGAAGACCGCTCCCAATGCGTCAAAATAGGTAATATCGTAAGTGCCGATCTAAATTGTACACCCTTTGGAATTCCACAAGGATCAATATTAGGCCCTACTCTGTTTTTAATTTACATAAATGATCTCTGCAACATTAAAATTAGCAACGGTACTATTATATCATACGCTGACGACACAGCTCTCCTTTTTTCAGCCGAGTCAGAAAGTCAGGTACACATGCATGCGCAACGTGGTTTTAATATTGTCAATAATTGGCTTCAACACAATTTACTAACATTAAATGCAGACAAGACAAATTTTATTAAATTTTCGATGCGTAAATCAAAAGCAAACTACTATAATACAGTTTTATATGCCCATCATTGCAGTTCAGAGCCTTTTAATAATAATTGTGAATGTCCTGCCATTAAAATTACAGACAAATTAAAATATCTCGGAATAATTTTAGATGAAACCCTGTCTTACAAACACCACATTACTGCAGTAACTAACAGAATTCGTAAGCTGATAATGATCTTTAAAAAACTGCGCAATATTGCAAACTGTAAAATAATTAAACAGGTATACTATGCTTTATGTCAATCAATACTAAAATATTGTATCACGTCATGGGGTGGAGTGGGTAAGACATTGCTGCTAACTCTTGAGAGAGCCCAAAGAGCAATCCTTAAGGTTTCATCTTCCCTACCTTTCTTTTATCCCACATATGAACTTTATAAAATTCATAAGGTATTAACAGTTCGGCAACTGTTTATAATGAACATCGTACTAAAACAGCACGTAGCTGTACCATACTATGTTGAACTTATTTCTGGTAAAAGACGCAAGGATCTAGTTTGCCCCCAGAAATATGGAAGAACAAAATCAGCTTTTGCATCCAGATTTTTCACTTTCCTAGGACCACTGCTCTACAATAGACTAAATGCAATAAAAAACATATATCCCTTAAATTACAAAAATTGTAAAATAAGCCTACAAGAAGCCTTACTATGCATGTCCTATGAAGATACAGAGAAGTTATTAGTTGTAGTTAAGTAGCATAAGGATATAGTTGTGAGAAGTGTTCGTTTCTCTTGATATTATTATTCTTGAATCTAGTATATTGCATCATTTTAGATTAGTTTTAAGTTAATTATATGTGTAATGTTTTACCAAATTTACTGTAATTTACCATAAATAAATACACATGTTATTTTAATGGAAATTAATCGCCCGTTTCCGCCTGAAACACAGGATTTTCTTAGTTCAGGCGCATGTTTTGTTATACCTAAGCTAAAATTGTACTTTTAAGTTATTATTTTTGTACTAATTGTTAAAATAAAATTTTATTATTATTATTATAAATATACATAAAATTTAACAAGAGACAAATGATTAAATGGTAGAATTTAAACACTGTTTATTTGTATTGAAACGAAAACAATAAAATCAGTACCCTTAGTACGAGTTCGAGCTCACGAAAACTATCATAGATTTCGTAATTGTAAATTATGTTTTTATGTCTATTTTGGTGAAAAGTAACCAAATATACTTAAAATTTAACACAACGCAAATGATTTAATGGTAGAATTTAAACACTGTTTATTTGTATTGAAACGAAACCAATAAAATCAGTACCCTTAGTACGAGTGCGAGCTCACGCAAACTATCATAGTATTCATAATTGTAAAACTCGTACTAACGGTACAGTACACAAAAGAACATAGTTGAAGTGGTGATGGACAAGGCACATCTTAAGAAATACAAGAAAGAAACCTCAGATTACAGAACAAAAGGCAGATTGAAAGCACGGTGGAGACTTGAGAGGAAGAGGCTCACCACAATCTGTCTCGCCACGACGTTGTCGTCACTCTCACGACAAATGAATTAAAATTATTCATTTGTCGTGTGAGTGACGACTGAACATCCAACGACCTTTTTGAAAGAGGAGTTTTGACCGAAATGTGTGGTGCTACGGCGTTTCAAAAGCAGGCTACCTGTCACCACTCCGCGCCACACGTCGCCGACTAAACGTGTTATTTAGATTTTTTATATAAAATTATTTAGTAACAATTCAAATAAATCTATTTATATAAAACTCAAAGGTGACACCCAAACCACTGGACGGATCGGGCTGAAATTTGGCATGCAGGTAGATGTTATGACGTAGGCATCCGCTAAGAAAGGATTTTGATCAATTCTACCCCCAAGGGGATAAAATAGGGAATGAAAGTTTGTATGAAACTTTGTCAATTTTAAACCGATCGGGCTGAGACTGCATGCAGGTACAAGAAGAATCATATATGAATGTCATTGTGTATAATACAAGTCTGAGAACAAAAACTGTAGTCTACACTTCAGCTCTACACCGAAGCAAAGCGAGGGCGGGCCGCTAGTAAGTAAATAAAATAAATAGTGGGTCATGGTCCATTCTCCCTTATCCATCCATGATTTTATAGCTCGACTTATCAAGTGTCTGGAATCCAGTGGTTTGTATGTGCAAAAATAAAAAAGTGTCATTCTGCGATCTGATACTGTGAGTATGTGTGTCGAGAACAGGTACGGGTGAATAGTGAGAATGTGACCAGTGGTAAGGGAATCGAGCGCAATAAAAGACGACGTCAGAGGGTAGACCGATATGTCTGCCAATAACATCTACCCTCAATAACTTCAGTTACTCCGTGATCAAGGCGCTTGCAACAGTGCAGAAATATCGGAGACTCATAAAAATCAAGGTACATGGTAACAATCCTGTTATTAGTTAGTGACCATGAAAGTTTTAAAGCTAATAATTTTTTACAGTAAATTATCTCTTATCTATTAGACAAGTCCGTCCGTCTGTCTGTGGTGCTGTTTCAGCGGCCAAACCGTAAGAGATAGATAAAGAGAATATTTAAGTTATTAGTTAAGAATAGTCTGATAAGACTACAAACCGGATTTGAGTAACGTAGCACTTCCGGTTTTCGAGAAATCACGAATATCAAACAAAACCACACAAAATCTCCGAAGTTCTCAATTAATTAAATACATATTTCTTTATTTTTTTTTTTTTTTTATATATCAGGTTTTGGTGAACATTTGGTTCACTGGTTTGCTAGTACATTTATAATGTGTTAATACAGCGCTACGCAGCGCACGCTATCCTATACCAGTATTCAGCAAACCAATCGCTCGCACAAACGTATAAACACACTCTGCATCATATCGCTTCACCGACGCTTACAACAAACTGAGTGAGAGTGTCATCTTCCATGACTCTTTTCTACGATTTAGGACTAAAGTTTCTGAGTTATTAAGAGATGCGTAGGCAAATTTTATTTTTATTTTTGTCGTTAAATTTGTTATACCGCATAATCTAATATATAAAATTCTCGTGTTGCGGTGGTCGTGGTTAAACTCCTCCGAAACGGCTTTCCCGATTCTCATGAAATTTTGTGTGCATATTGGGTAGGTCTGAGAATCGGACATCTATTTTTCATCCCCCTAAATGTTAAGGGTAATCCACCCCTAAATTTTTTTTTATTTTTTTTTGATACATCATACACAAATACATACAACCCTAAATTTTCACCCTTCTACCACAAATCCCTATTTTTTTTGGCGGTACGAAGTTCGCTGGGACAGCTAGTTATATATATATTCGTTTTCTATTGTCTATAGTTTCAAAGCCACTAATAGTTCATAAACTTCATTATTTACATGTAGTTTCAGTTTGTTTATTTAATTAAAATTCGGTCCGTTCGTACTGTCTCTTAAGCATGATGTGGCTACCTTCAATAGAATTTTGTATGTATCAATATAATGTTTAAAAATAAGATTTAATGTCTTTTCTCTGGTGGTCCTAATAAATAAATAATTGTGGAACCGAGAATGGTACAGTGGATCATCTTTTCTTTAACTGCCCCAAATTAAACATCTCTCTCTGTTTAATCTAAAACGGGCTAAAATAGGGTAGTCTGGAAAAAACTCTCACGGCGAACGCGCGGTCGTTTTGTCTATATACTTAGGCTAGCCGCTGAACGGCGTGGTGCTCGGGCCGAGTTTTATGCAACGGAATTTGCATCTTGAATTTTTGTTTTTCGGTATTTAAATTACGCGATCGGCAGTGCGTTTAAGTAGTTTTGTTGGGTTCACTGTGGACAAGGGGAGTTGTGCAGTGCTAAGCGGAGGAGCTTTGGGGACAGCGTACTGGACCCAAGGTTGGAGCAGTCAAGCTCGCCTTGGATCACCACACCGGACTTAGGTTCTACTTGTCACTCATAACACTAAACATACAGTACACCTTGATTTCGTTTAGTTTGCATTAACACTATTCCAATTGTCTAGGTGCGCCTCATTAATCTTCAAGTGAGTTATAGTTTATTGTCATTAAATTTATTTTCAAGGGCCCAGCACGATCTTTATTCTCAACACTCTCTATGACATTTTACCTCCCACTATTCCACGTCCTATAAGCATGAAAGTCCTACTATGTTTATGTGATTACTCAACCCTCAAGCTCTTGGCCAAATTTATTTCCCATAACAAACTAAGATTATAACAAAGCTCCTCGCTTTACTTGTTTTATGTTTGTGTTGTCCTGATTGTGACGTTTTTCTTTACAGGTAAAAGTGCTTATAAAATAGGTGACCAAAATTCTGATTTTTAACTGTCATTCCCTTACGTGTAATGACTAATCACTTGACATTGGCAGAGCTGTGCTAAGTCACAACGCCAGCCATCATAAAAGAAGAATAAATAAATAAATACTGCTTACCTGGATTGAATTTCATGAAAGCTTCCATGCCCAAAACCATGGAACCCAAACTTTGCAACAGCAAAGTAAAATAGGGATATGTTCTAGCTTCGATGGCTCTGCCTAGGGCGAGTCGAACAAAGTTGATCTTTGTCAAATCAACCCTTACATTAAACTGGTTGTGTGCTTTATCTAATATGGCCTGGGGCTCAGCTGTTTCTACTGTGTAGATGTAGATGGTCGTGTCTGGATATCTGTAAATCATTAATAACAATAATATACATAGGGTTTTTCAACAAGAACTTTGTTTTCTAAAACAAAAAATTTAGATGATGATGATTGAATTTTTTATTGAATTACAAAGAGAAAAGCACGGCAATTATGAATGAAAAATGATATCTGGCATATGATATCCGATCTTCCGATCTCTTTAATTTATTAAAATTATGTATTCTTTCGCATTATCGTCTATTTTTGACTTTGAATTGACTTAGCAGGGGGCCCCTAGAATCCACGGGGCCCTGAACTGAAGCCCAAAAAGCCATATTGTAGATCCGGCCCTGATCGCAGTCATCTGTTTGAATATGCTATTTAATTCAATGACTAGCGCGTTTATTGAATGACGACATTTGATTGAATTACTAAAGGACAACTCGTCAAGTTGTTTCATGTAACGTTCACCGTCTTGACTGAGCGTCATTTAGCATAGTCGTTGAATGGGATATAGCCGGCTTTGTAATTATGTAAGTAAGAAGAAAAATACCATATTATTTACGACAGATTCGTGATAAGTGGGTTAGGTTAGGTTATTGTTGTGACCTGAGCTTAGATAAATAGAACCTACAAATACCTATTTATTTATTTATAGATAATTAAATAAACAAATAAGTTTTTGTAGGTTTTTTATTTTTATTTTTTCTATCATCCTGCTGTTTGACGCCATATTTGTTTTGGTGACTACTAGCGCCGCAGTGGGAAAAAAAGTTCAAAGGGCTATGTTACAATCCGTTAACTAGTTGGACGTTGAGTGACGCTTGTTTAATCAACGTTCGGCCTAGTCATTCAATTAAATGTCGTCATCCAATGAACTCGTTAGTCATTCAATCAAATAGCAGATTCAGCCAGATGACGGCGACATATCGATACAAACGACAACAAACTGTACCAAACCCCTAGCACGAACCATTATCGAATTCGAATAGTTTTCAAACCGAAATGTCAATGTCAAATTTCGTATGGAAACTTGAACAGCAGCGCCACAAACCTCGTAACGGGAACTAAAAATCAGTACACATTTGACAATGACATTTCGGACTCGCAAACGAAAAAAAAAAGCAAACAGAGCTATGGAAAGGGCTATGCTCGGAATATCCCTGAAGGACTGCATCAGAAATGATGTAATCCAGAGAACAGAGAACCAAAGTCACCGACATAGCCCACCGAATTAGCAAACTGAAGTGGCAGTGGGCTGGTCACATTAGCCGCAGAACTGATGGCCGTTGGAGCCGGAAAATTCTTGAGTGGAGACCGCGACTCGGTAAACGTAGTGTGGGACGCACAGAGACAAGATGGGATGATGATATTCATAGGCTGGCTGGAGTGGGCTGGATGAGAGTAGCACAAAATCGGGAGCAGTGGCGTGCATTAGGGGAGACCTATGTCCAGCAGTGGACGAACAAGGGTTGATGATGATGATACGATACGAATTCGATATTGGTTCGTGCTAGGGGTACTGTTCTGTGGAATAAAAGAAACGCACGTCGACGGCGCTTTTAAAACACTTGGTGTAGCTCTTGCTCTTGTCTAAGCAATAGTTCATTTGGGTAGAGTAATCGGTAAACTGTGCCATCTTTCATTAATGTAAATATGTAAAATAATTGTATTACTACAAATAAGTAAGTCGGTTGACTGTAAAGATCGTGATGTATTTCTACTGATAAAGAGTATACTTTTAAATTAGAAGATTGTCAATTTAATATAAATTATTAGTCTTATATATTTCCTTTCTATCTATATATATAAAACTCAAAGGTGATTGACTGACATAGTGATCTATCAACGCACAGCCAAAATCACTGGACGGATCGGGCTGAAATTTGGCATGCAGGTAGATGTTATGACGTAGGCATCCGCTAAGAAAGGATTTTGATCAATTCTACCCCCAAGGGGATAAAATAGGGAATAAAAGTTTGCATGAAATTTTGTCATTTTTAAACCGATCGACTGAGACTTTGCATGCAGGTATAAGAAGAATCATAGATCAATGTCATTGTGTATAATATAAGCCTGAGAACAAAAACTGTAGTCTACACTTCAGCTCTACACCGAAGCAAAGCGAGGGCGATTTTCAGAATGTCTTACAATGTAATAAAGTATGAAATGATTATAGAGATTATTAAACGGAAGTGGCGCCACTGAGGCGAAGTTTAGTTTTTCATAAAATAAATGTAACCCATATTACTTTACCTTGTTTTTCTCCTGCAAGCGACAGGCAGTGTTAAAGTGTCTTCGGTAGTGTAAAGTTGAAAAGTGTCGGTAACTACTGTGCTAGTGACTGTGATTATAATTAAAATAATTGTCGGAATCCAAAGTGTTTATCGACAAGCCCTACATTAGAGAACAGCCTCATCAATAAACATGTACAAAGATTCATCATTCTTTTATTTCAAAAACGGTTAAGAAATGTAAATGTTACAGTTTGGTTTTGCTTTTAAATTATTGGATTTTGAAATGAATAACAGACTATGTTCATAGAACGTACAGGCAGCAGAGTGAAAAATTTACACAATGGATGCTCGTTCTGTTGAATCAAATTAAGTTACTGAGAGTAGGTATATCAATATCATATTAACATAGCACCTGTACAAACAAACACATACAATTTTCAATACGGTAAAAAACATGTGAAGAATATTATTCAAAATTTAAAAGGGTATAAATTATCACATTTGCATTGTACATTTATGGCAAAAGAAACCGCTACGGATCTGTACTACAAAAATTAAGTTTAAATCAGACATATTTTCACTGTCTTATCCTATCCTAGAAAATAGTATAGGAATTATAAACACCACTGCGGTTAACGCCTTTGGCTGCGATTGTTGAAGCAACTTTTCAGTCACCCGCCAAGACACACTGGGACCGCACAGTGGGTCACGGCCCAATTTTCCTATTCCATCCATAGGGAAGGCCTGTGCCCCAGCAGTGGGGACATTAATAGGCTGATGATGAACACTACACTTCCCCAAGGAGCATTTTAATGATGTGATTATTAAATAGTCCACAAATATAAGTAACATAATTGTACGTACCTGGCTAGCAATGCTTTGATGGCAACCCAAAGCACTCTTTCCCCTCCTCCACCAGCCTTACAATACGGATGGAAAAACGCCACATTAGCACCGTCTCTTTTCCTCCGTTGTAACTTGCGTTCCTTAATACGCATATACCATGATGCGAATATGAAAGCACATGGTACTATGACAAAAGCTCCAAACAGCAGAACTCCAATAAAAATTATAGGTAAAACTATGAGTAAACTGAAATAAAAATTTTCATTTATGGGAACAAGGAAATCAACGATAAACATAAATTTTATGAATTGAGCGTTGTTCAACAGAAAGTCAACAAAAATTTTTTTCTACGAAGCCAGAACCAAACCATAAAGTTTGATTGTGTATGATCCCAAAAATGACCAATGGTCTCTTTCTGCTCAACACCACTCAACTATCAGTTGAATTATATAAAAATCACACTGTAGCCCAAAACATAGTGTCTTTAAGATAGCCATTAAAAAATTACATTTAATGCTAAATATAGTTTCACTTAGAGAAAAAAGACACATTTGGCAAGACAGCAAGCTAAATTTTTTGCAGTTATAATTTCTATTATTTTAAAGCATGTAACTGCTTGATGTTTAAATCTAAAGAAAATATAACTAGAAAAAATTCCACGCGTACCAGGCAGCAGATGGGACTCGAACCCCAAAGGAGCCGCGGTAGAATAAATGGTCAGTGCATTCGCCCGGATTACGAAGGGTGCGGGTTCGAGTCCCGTCTGCTGCCTGGTCTGCATGGATTTTTTTCTTGTTATATTTTCTTTAGATTTAAATTTTTGGAAATTTGTGTCTATGTAGGAGACATCTGAAACTATTCAAAATCCAGACAAATACTGGGAAAGTGTACTTTTTTCTATCCGAAGATTATTTAGGCTGGATTTTCTATATGGATGGATTTAGTAAAGAAGCTGTTTATGTAAATTAGAAAATTAAAATACATCTTATTTTATTTTCTATGACAGCAATTTTGTAGGGAGCGTCACGGGTAATAAATCGAGTTCATCCAAATGCCTATGGTCTTGTCCGACATAAAAAAAATACCTATTATTGTCTCAAGTTTGGGTATTATTACAAAAAACTTTCATTAAACTTGCAAACCAACCCCGTCACTTAACTGCTAGAAAAGCGTTCGATAATATTCAACACAGTTTTTTTACTTAATATTATAAAATAAACAGTAAATCTACAGTAAACTTACGTGAAACACTGCCAAAACATAGCGCTTTAGAAACAAAGAACTTAAATATCGCGTAAATTCTGTAAACAATTAAGATGGGTATTTTAGTTCGTGTTGTTTGATATTCTTAATCAATCAAACATTGCTAAATTATTTTCTAATTTCTATTTTCCTCTCAAACGATTTCTAACCCAAAAACTCATCTGGAACTCCAAAAACCATAGACAATACATACGGAAGACTGTCATTTTCAGTATTTCCATAATCGGGTAATTATTTTACCCTATATTTCTTTTAAATACCTCAAATTATTCGGAAAACCTTTGAATCAGTGCGCGAAAGAAGGATGCCCATTTGTGACCTGTCAAATCTGTAAAAAAAATTTGCATGTATAATTATGTGACATACCTCAAAAAAAAGGTAATTATTCGCTTATTACGAAATCAAAATATCAACAAAAACTACAATCCAGTTTTTTCAAAAATAATTTTTGAAAATAACCATTATGTAGGTACATTTTTTGCTATCACACGAACGCATCCATTAGGGAAGAGTATTGTATCAAAGTAAAATGACATAATTATGAACGCAGCTTAAATGTAGATTCGCACTCTCCTTTCCAATGTTGCCAGCCATGCGGTAAATACCGTATTTAAATGGTAATGTAATACTTAAAAGGCATGGCTTTCATTTAAAGTTTCTTTCCGTTCTTAACAAAGACTGGCCATTTTCTTAGTGAAACATGACCGAAATAGTTAAGACTCCATCATCTCTTCGGCTGACTACATGAGAAGGAAATTCGTTCCGAAAAAATGCCAGCAATAATGACAGCTGCTCATAGTACCAATCATCTCAATTAATGGAAGGTATTGTAATTTTATTTTAGATTATTACCTACTTATATACTTGTCTACCAGAGATTTAAATAATACATAGTTAAATGTCTTAGATGTCTATAGATATAATTAGGTAAAGGTCAAGATTATCATTTATTCATTCGCTTGCAGAAACTAAGACATTAAGTACCTACTATTTCAATAAAATAATTGAAACTGAATTATTGATTAAATATAAAAAAAAACTTGTTTAATTCCAAAGACAATATTATAAGGATGACACCTCAGCATGATACATGTTATGATATTAATCCTTTTTTCTTCAATCCTCAGATCAAGCTTCAATCAAACAAAACAAGCGAACTGAAATAAATACCTAGCTGGGCTAAGACACCACAGCTGTGACAGCATACAAATGAATAATCTTATGCTGGCACTTCACTTGGCTATTCATGTAAACTTGACTTCAGTCTGTCCTTTTCTTTCCTTAAAACATGATAAGGACAGACTGTTGTCAAGTTTACAAATAGCCAAGTGAAGTTCCGGCATTAGATAATCTATAATCAATCTCGTAACCACAGAGTAAGTAAATGACATCTTCAGCAGTTGAATAACCTCAGAATTAGTTTTCGTTATAACTTCTATTCCTCATTGCCAAATCAAACCAAATTATCAGCATTATTTCAGAAGATTGTAATAATTAGTTAACAACCTCAACAGTCAATATACATCCATAAAGAAAAAACCGAAGTGACAGGTTTTCGAATGTATGGGCAGTGGGCATTGTTCTTTAATCAGTTAGAAATAAATCAAAATCTTACAGTCTTATTCATAAAAAAGTTAAAATAGATCCATATTCATATAAATTATTGCATCACGGTAGTTACAGAGATGGTTACAAACACATGTCTTAGGTGCTTCACCCTGTCAAGGTATCTGAATACTTGGTATTCTGTTAATAAAATTATATTCATATTAATGAAAAATTCTCAATTTACAATAATCTAATTAACAATAGTTGTTGAATTTAGTACATCAATTTTAATAAAATATGTTATTATATATACCTAGCCAAGTCATAAATTCTAACACATGTTTAATATAAAATAATTGAAACAAGTTTATTCATTATGTAACAATTTATATACCAAAATGAACTTAACAAAACATAGATTCTTATGACAATAAAGTTCATTTAAAATTACCTCCGTGATTTTGAATGTAGGCCTTCAATATGCGCGGCCAGTCGTCTATCGCAGCACAAACGAGGTCCATGTCAATATCGGCGGCTGCCTTAATCAAGGATGTCTTGAGTGACTTCAAATTGGGATGAGGCTTTAAGCACGCCTTTTCTTCCAAGTGTTGCCATATCTTGTAATCTAATGGACTTAAATCTGGACTGGAGGAGGGCTAGTCTTCGTGCCGGGTGAAGTCGATTTCACGCGCCGCCAGCCAGTCTTGTGTGCTCTTCGCTCTATGAGCTGGCGCCGAATCTTGTTGGAATACCCAGTGCCTGTTATTGAACATGGTATGGGAAACAGGTTCCACAAGGTTCGTCAGGACTGTATTTTGAGACACAACTGCATTCGTTATTACACCTTTTTCACAAAAATGTACCTCTGTTAAGCCCCAATAAGAAACTTTCAACCATACCATGAGCGAGGATAGAAAATGACCTCGTTGGACACGCGGAATTCGGTTGCTCGCTTCTTCACTATTGTGTGCGTACACCTTATCATTTTGTTTGTTGTAGCTCTCTTTTACGGTAAATTTTTTTTTTCTTCGATATGCCCGAAGCCCTAAGTCTTCATTTAACACCCTTTTCACCGTGGTTCTGCTTAACCCCATCTGAAGGGCCAACAGTTTCTGCTTACGTTTGGGATTTCTTTGAATTCGCGCCTTCACAGCTTTTATCACTGCTGGAGTCCTAACAGACCGAGGGCGACCACTTCTTGACCTGTCATCTATACTAGAGTCTTCATTGTATTGTTTGATAGTACGATAAACGAATCTTTTGGTTATATTCAAGTTTTTCAGTATGTCAAAAATTTGAATTGGCGCGTAACCGCAATGATGCAAGGATGCAACGCAATAACTGCAACATTGATTTCATTGATTTTCCAATAAAAATACTAATTTGAATTGAATTATAAAATAAATATGTAAAAAAGAATCTACGTAATTTTTTTTTTCATATAATCTACCTTTTGCAAGGACCTGGGAAGTAGAGATATTATTTTTATAAAATTGATTGATGATATTGTGTTTTGCTTTAGTTATGCAAGCATAACATGCGAATGAGCAGAATATTTTCCATGTCGTCCAAAGATTTACTAGGAGAGATATGATCCTTTTTTCTATGCCATGAAATGAAATGAAATTTATTTATTCACACAAAACAAAGTAGATATATTTTGGTGGTGATTTACATTTAGTTTTTCCATTTTGCCAACGACAGGGCATGTGAATGTCAAACTTAATTTAGTTCTAAAATTTATATGTACTTATGTCATTTTATTTATTCTATTGTAAGTCAATTTTCGTTTCTAAATATTCTGTAACTGAGTAAAAACATTTCGTTATTAGCCACATTATAAGCTTCCTTTTAAATATAGGCAAACTAAGTTCCGTTTACATTCCAAAATATAAATAGAGGCAAGTGTAAGTAATTTTAATTTCGAAAATAGCTGCCTGCATGATGTCATTTGCGGGACATCGCTTAAAGCTCGGACGCATTGTTTTTGGGATATAAAAGCTCTGTTAATGTCCGACGAATTTCCCCATAAGAGTATACCGTATTTAAGACTGGATGCAACATATCCGTGATAAGCCGTTAGAGCTGCGTTTTGGTTAACAAGTCAATTAAACCGCCACAATGCATACGCAAACCTATTTATCTTAAACAGATTTTTTTTATGTGATTCTTCCATGAACACTGGTTATCTGTCACCATTCCTAAAAATTTTAGTGAATTTGATTAAATGATAGGATTGTCATGTATGCTTAAACTTATATTATTTGATTTCCGTTTTCTATTAAAAATGTCATATACTTAGTTTTATTTATATTCAAATTTAATTATTATTTTTGAGCCAATTAGAAATATTATTTATGACAAAGTCATGAATAAATTAAAAAAAAACTAATTATGACAGTTAACAGTGTTGCCATTCGTAATAATTCAAGTGCCACGACTCACTTGTCAGACTCTACAAACCAAAAGATTTTTATACCACTTTAAGCAGACTTAGAATAGGTCATTGCCTTTTTAAAGATCACCTGTCCCTATTCAAGATGGTCAGCTCACCTGTTTGCAACTTCTGCAACATAAATAATTATTTATGTTTATATTATTTATGATTATAATCAGTCCCTGGACCATATCTTTTTCTTTCGCGGTTCATCTCAAGTACAGAGAAATTTGCTGCTTCAAGACCTTCGAAGTACTTTTGGCGAAGAAACCATCCCGCGCGACTTGAGAAAACTTTTCCAAAATAACGACACCTACATTCCTTTATACAAATTTGTAAAAGCTACAATCAAAACATTTTAAGAAAGAAAAGTTTACAGACAGGGCTGTATGGACTCAGAATCCTTTGCCCGCCCCAAAAGAGACAAATTGACCAAAAAAAGTGCCGTCATCCGTCATCAGTGCTGTCATATCTACCAACTTTTTGGTAGATCTACCAATTTTCACTTCAGTCTACCTATCTACCACCCTAGACCTAAAAACTACCTATTTTTTTAATTAGTTTGACATATCACCACTTTGAATTATTTTTATATCGACGAGCGATGTTGCTATGTATTGCGTGAGCCACGCAACGATGCGTCAAGCATACATAGAGTCCAGGCCATAAACCACAAAAAAAACGTCAGCTACAGTTCGTCATGAGTTCGGCGTTCGCACAATTTCGCGCCCATATTTTACTATTCCTACTGTGGCCTATTCCCGGTTGGTTTGTTGCGTAATCAATGTTCAATCTTTGCTCCTGTTTTATTGAAAAAATTAATTAACTGCGTATTAACGGTGCTGATTGCTGTTTGTTCTTTGTTGCGTGCATTTATTTATATAATGGATTCTGACAGCAGCGAAAGCGATAGGATCTACGTTAGGAACTCCGCCACGAAAACCTAGAAAAAGGTATGACCAAAAATATTCGAAATTATGGGAGAAAGGCATGGAATTTGCAGGTTGGCTTCAAGAAATTACTAAGGGTGACGGATATTTTTATTGCAAATCATGTAGGTGTGATCTGAAGTGTGCTCTGCATTGCATTGATTGCATTTTTAATCTTAAAAAATCTTCTAAATTGAGGTGGTAGATCTACCAATTTTGCATTTTACATTCTACCAACTTCTACCAACATTTGGCACATAATCTACTAATTTTCTAAAATTCGAGTTGGCAGCACTGTCCGTCATCACGAATCACGAGTCTTCTTTTTCTGGAGTTTTTGGCGGGATTTCATGGATCGCTGTTGGCGTCTTATTTTAATTATTCTTAAATTTGTTCATAGTGGATATTGTGAAATAAAATTGGTGTGATTTTGTGTTACAACTGTCTGCGCAACTGAAAAATTAGTAGAATCTTTAAAATATACGCTATGCCGGTCAAGTGGACGTGAGAATTTTATTGTAGTATTAACTACCTCACAGAAGCTTATCGAAAAAGCCAACTCGATATATTTTGTGCCAAACACTCCAAGAAGCATTAGAATGCGTCACACTCACATTCTAATGTAAAAAGAAAAAGAAGATTAATACAAAAATAAGACGATGGCTGCATGGCTATGCCTTTGCCTTTCTCAATAGAGAAGAATAGAACTAAATAAAAAAAATGAGTCTTCTTCATCTTCATATTCTTTTTTGTGGATCACGCGTCTAAAAACTCTTGTTTCATTTGGTTTGTTTTTAATTTTTTGACGGCTAAGGTCAAATTCATTTAAAACGAAAATGATTTATCCAAATAAAATAATCATAAGGTCTGTAATGTAGGTGTTGTGATAATCGTGTTGTGTGTAGTGGTGTTATGTAGGAATTTCATTACACAGCAACTGACGAATTTTACTTCTATGGTTATCTTTGTTGTGCGATATTTGAAACTGAAATGTAATTGGCTACCACACACCGCTCACTAATTGTTCTCTTGAGAATGTGATCTAAGTAACAAACTTGTCTCTAAGCTACCCCATGTTCAGCAAAGTATGAGTTATTTTTAAACATTCTTTATCTGTGAACATTGTGTTTATTGATGTGTAACATCTTTCCTCTCGGTTTCCTGCAATTTGTGGGAGTGATTTCGTGAAATGGGACAGAAGTGTGTAATAGGAAGTTGCGAAAGCGTGTGTTATTTGATTTTAGAACATAATGTTCAAATGGCTTATTCCTTTTGTAGTAGGTTTTATTTCTTTCTTTACTAATATAAGGTGAGGTTTCAAATGTTACATATCATATGCGACTATTATGAGGCTTGCTCATTCTTTTTTGGCTAATGCAGAACTAAGTCACTAGATCCGGATTTTATTGAAATCAGCGTTAAGTCCATTCAATGGGAAAATAAGAAAAGAGGTTTTTAAATCAGTCCTAATATAATACAGGTTCGTATTGCATATTGCGATTAAAACACTAACAAATGTATTGTTTACTACTATAAGAAATTTACTTTATATTGAAAACAGTCATCATCGTTGCAAATAATACAAATCAACTCAGTTTTTTTTTCTGCAAATATCTGTTAATGTTTTCTATTAATCCATTATTGTGATAACAATTGCTATATGTAATGGATTAATGGAAACACATAAAATAAATTTTGC